AAAAGGAAACTGTATAATAATATCTCTTAACTATTCATTTCTTGTCCCCCCTAAAAATTAAGACATTGAAAACAATTTCCCATCTGCAACCTTGAATATAGTGTATGAAAATACCTTAACGCATAGATCGATTTGAAAACAGAAGAAATTAGAATTAAATGTATCATGTCTAAAATAAATGGACCGATTCCTTTGGCATCATTTCTCATGGCAATAGATCGATACATTGTCTACATGATATCGTTATACATGTTGCTGTAATGCTTTTGACCAATTGATATTCGTTTAATTTGTTTTAATGCTTATATTGAAACTATTTATTATCCCCTTAATCTAATGGTCATTTTTTTGTATGTAATACGAGTCAATAGGCAATTGATTGCCTGTGATTAACTATAGCCCTATGGTTATTAAAAAATCGCCAACGTTAGCGACAAGGAGATGATTTTATAATGGTGCTTGATCATTTAATGATGGATAGAGTCATTTTTACCGCAATATTGGAGTTGTAGATGGATAAAATACTAACGATACTGTAGATTGCTTTTATTGATCTAATTTGCTCTTGATTTTGGTATCGTTGCTTTGCCAATGGCGGGTACAAGAAATTTATAGGGGGCTAAATCAAGAAAGAATACCAACGTGAACTTAAATCCATTTTTACGACAGTGTCAAAGTTGCTGACTATGTAAATTGTTATATAAAATTGCTTTTCATAAACGGATTGTAATCGTCCTTTATTTTAACACCTTTGCTTTACTAACGTCGAAGAAATGGATAGGGAATCGGGAAAGAGTATAGATGCTAAACTGAGCTACTCTTGCCACAATGTCCAATCTATTGATTAGGAGAGGATAAGATGAACTAGAGTAATATCATCATGATTTAGCTATGTTCTTGAAAATTCGGCTTAAATTGCTTTTACTGATCTAACTCACTCTGCGTTCTGCACTCTTGATTTACTAACATAACAGAAATGAAGAGTCAATTACATCAATCAAATTAATTGGTCCCAGATATTATACTCTAGAGCTCAATCATGCCAGTAATGTAAAGTTTATGGTAAAATGAACTCAATTTATCCTCGATATTCTTACTTGTATTTCCCCTCAGTTTACTTATATCGTTGTTCTAATATCATGGAGGAAATGAGTGGAGAGAAACTCTAGAAAGAATAAGAATCATAAAATTAGCAGCATACGAATATGTCATTCAATTCCTCATCAATATGAATGTAAATTTCAAAACAATCCTAATTGGACAGCAACTACAGCATGTCACAATCCAATTCGTTTCCATCTCCTCATAGGGCAATAAGCATCAAAATACAGATTATTAGTAGTCACTACTGTAAATTTGTCAAGGAAAAAAATTAAAAAAAAGGTGATCACTGGGCTTATTTTATAGGCTGCAATTGACGATTAAATCAACAAACGCAATTAATCAACAAACTTAATTAACCAATAGGTTTGAATTAAGCTTCCATTTTCCATCTGTTTAACATGTAAATTCTTGTATGAACTTTTATCACTTCAAAGGGACATAGATTTAATTTTTTGATTGAACATGAATCACTAAAATGATGCTATTTGTTCACTACCACTGTTCCGATTTTCTTCTCATGACCTTCAATCATGACCAACATCTCCAATGCTGTTTTAATTAACGCCAACTCTTGTCATGATAAAGGAAAAGATTTGTTCAAGCAATAAACGACTTATTTGCAACATACAATACAATATACAAAGCTCTAGATTCCATTCGCCTACACTAATCCAAGCAATAAGGAAAATTGTCAATGCCTTCAAGTCTTTCCATTGCAATAGTTTAAATTTGATCAAGCGATTGAAATTTTATATAAGGAGAAGAATAACAACATAATCAGACCTTAGAGTAGCATTGTCTGATCCGATTACGACTCTGTTTTATGCTATTATCGTTACTATGTCAGCTGGGCTTGGGAAGAAAGAGAATATTTATTCCATCTTGAGCCAAGAAATAATCGACGAGGAGAAACTAGTCCAAGTATCACATATTATTTTGCACAGTTATTGATCCTCACAATACTCGCATCTATTTATGGAGTAACTGAATAGGAAGAAATATCCCACATTGATTCTAGCTTGGTTTTGGATATTTTTTCATATAGCTTTGATAATAATATTACAGTGGTATCCATGCAGTTCGTTCTGATTACATTTTTATCGTTAGTAATGATTTCAAGCTTTAACACCAGTAGATAATTCTGGTTATTTCTCATAGTCAGTAAGGATTTTACGACATAATCAAGATAAAGGGAAATTTTCCTTCAAGCTCTTGATCTCGTGATCAAGATTATATGCATAGTAATATTACTAATATATCATCACGAGATAATCCTAGTTATTTCTCATAATTAGTTAGGATTTTGTGGCATAATCAAGATGAAGGAAACTTTTCCTTCAAGCCCTTGATTTCATGATCAAGATTATATACCTAGTAATATAACACCACTAGATCATTCTAGTTATTTCTCATAGTTAGCTAGGGTTTTATGGCATAATCAAGATGAAGGAAAAGTTTCCTTCACGCCCTTGATTTCATGATCACTATTACAGTAGTATCTATCTACGCGTACAGTGCCAGTAGATAACTTTGGTTTATTTTCACGATTGGTTGGTAACAATTTTATTTCAGAATGATGATACGCATAAGTATTGAAAATGGCCGATTAAGTATATGCATAGCCGCACAAGTATTTACATCATATTCTTTTGCCGCTATAAATCCATATACGTATATTTTGATGCCATGATTACTTTATAGATAGCTATGCTTGTCATGATAATCAAGATGAAGGAAGATCTTCCTTCAAGCACTTGATTCCATGATGATATTGTAGTCATATAGATCATCTTTAAATTATTTTTATAGTCCCTAGTGATTGTATCTCCCGTATATTATATTCTAAAATCTAGATGATAGACAACATTTCCTTCAAGCACTTGATATATGCGTACGTATTTAATAGCATGTTGATGATGCTATTAACCCAAACTTTGAACTAGATGCTATTTTGGAAGGCTATAACGTATAAGAATACTAATTGAGAATAATTTCCATTGGATTAATAATTTACAGCTAGCATCTGTCACCTTTGCTCCCACTAGCCTAATCTCATTAGATCTCATCGTTTTAGTGCCTCCAACCTAATTACCTTGATTAAGCCACTTTAAATGCTAGATCTGGCAGATGTATCTCTCATTTCAGTAAATCGGTAATCATAATCCTTGTGACCCAGTACTCTATATCAAATCTTGTGACGAAACCATACTTGAAATATGAATTTGAAAAGGAGTAAGGATAATTGACAGAGATTAAGTGATATTGAGATAGAATAGCGCTATTCGGTCATGCCATTCTTTATTTCCTATCTTGTGTATGATTATATCTGGAAAATGTGCAGATAGGATAACTAATTAGTCAAAAGGATTACGATTCCAATTTGTCTAGACATAATTCTGGTATTGGTTTAGAACCTACCGTAGATGGACTAATCAGAATTTTTTTAATCAATTTTCCATTTCCTTTCCTACTGATCAATATTTCAACAAATAGCAGAAATTAAAGTTAATAGCCAAACAGGAAGATTATGCTTCCATTTTTAGATGGATATAGTTTTAAATGAACTAGTCAAAATTTCGATCTAAATTTAAATCGATAGAAATATCCGAGATTGAATAACGAGTCAAACACCAAGATTATAATTTCAATTTCGATGGTACAATTGGATTTAGATCAGCGGAAAGATTTCAATCCAATTCCATTTTCTTCCTCATAGATTCTAACTTTACAAGAAATATTTCTTGTCTGGCAAACTTGCGTAGATTACGTGGGAGGGTTTCGTTTTCAGCTAGACATTATTTTTTAGAGGTCTAGATCGATGTAGACATAGGCTAGATTTTGCAATGAAATTTTAATATTTTGTTGAGGAGTCTGACTATGATCACAAAGTTTTGAATATTGATTTACTGTTACTATACAACAACCAAGACTAATTGCTTTGCTTGCCTAATTCTATAATCCACTGCACTATTTCAATTGTATTTCTTGGTAAGCTGGGTAAAACTAGTATTCAACTTTTTTGTTGCTTTTCTATTTGTATCAGATATGAAATGTGCTATTAATGATTCATGATTACGGCTATCATCAATTTTCATTTCCAGATTGATTGAATCTTTTAAGGTCTATCATTTATTGTCCATTTCGCTAGTATAGACAATCATAACAACAAAATAATTAATTTGCCATGTCGGAGATGATATTCGCCTTTCTATAAATTATTTATTTTAGTACTATTATAAAATTGATGATAGCATGGTTGCTTGTTGTTTCCAATAATATTCATCAGTGAAAATAAGAGTTGTTAACTGCTCACTAAAAATAACATTAATATCGTAGCATTAGTTTCTTCTTACCTTTGATAAAATTTAACTATAAGGATAAGAGATGCTTACTGTCAGCCAATATCACCAATATTGTTTATTGCCTTGATCTTTTATGGCCGAGATTAACCATAAGAAATTACTGAAATTTGTAACATATTTATGAATTCATGACTATTAATATTTCACCTTACTGTGTTAATCGTTTACTTTAAACTTTACCTTCTTATTGTATTAATCATTTACTTTAAAATCTATCAAAAGGTCTAATTATTTGTTCCATCTACCAGGCAAAGAAACGACGCAATTTCTGACTGTTATACTTTATCTTTTCCTTTCTAGCATATCTTCACAATTGAGCTATCTGGCCATGGCCAGAAACAATTTACCTTTGCTGCTGACACTGACGATGATTTAAGAGCTTGGGTCGACAATATCCGTGGTTGCCGGTAAGATATTGTTATCATTTAGAGACCAAAATTATAGGATAATTTATGGCCATTTGAAGTCGTTCGCCCGATAATCATTAATGTCATACTTGTTCATTAATCAGTCTGATACAGTCGAAAGGATTACATGGATTACATAAACATTTTGATTAAAGGAACCCTAACAGCTTGCTCTAATGTCTACAGTTATGAAGATATTCGAACTGCCCGTAACCAAATCGATAGAAAATATGATCATTTAACGAAAATTATGGAAAATGAAGAGATTGAGAAAAAACAGCTTCGCCAGCTATGTCAGAATCAAGAAATGGAAATTCGAAATTTAAAGGGAGAGGTAATGTTACATTCTTGAGACTCGTTCATCCTGTTAAATAAGCTAAGATTACCTTGTTTTCAGATGCACTGCTTACGATGTGAGTTGAAATTAAGCACTCAAAATGAACCAGAAGAACTGCAAAAGATCAAAAAGGTAACTTTATTAGATTGGCTTGCTGTGGTGATAACTTGATTACATTCAAATAGCATAGGATATTTAAACAAAATTTTATAACTACTGTACATCCTAGATCTAATGCGGCTTATAATTTCATATTGATTTGATAACAACTCTATAGAGCTATTCACTACCTATTAGATTGAAAATTTTCATAAAATGAAACTAAAATAACAGTTTTATAACGTGCATGTATCTCCTGGACTTAATATCAATTTATAATATAATATGGCTCTGATAGTAACTGTAAATTATATTCATAGCTTTCATAAAATGAAACCTAAATGACGGTTTTATAAACTACCTGTATCTCTTACTTGCAATTGATACTGATATATAATTTCTTGTAGCTCTAATAATAAGTTCAACATAACTATTCAATACCTTATTAGATTCAAAGTTTTATTCGTGGCTGGCTATGCCGCAGGAAATGGAAAGCGATCGTCCAGAATTATGTCAGTTCAGAACATAGTGATATTTTGAAGAAACGGAATGGCATTTTCTTTCAATTGTACGAATCAGAACGAAATTATGTACAACAAATGTCCATTCTTGTATCTTGCTATTTGAGACCTTTAAAGATGGCGGCAAGTTCTAAAAAGCCTTCGGTTACTCATGATGAAGTTAATTCAATCTTTCTAAATTGGTAAGAATGAATTTGTCAGTTTTTGAATCAGCGGTTTCTACACGTAGATACTAAGTTTCTGATAAATACTGTATATCAAAGTACAGAGTATTGAAATCGATTTTATAATTACTGTACACCATTAATATCCTCTTTCACGTATTTAATTATATAGAATAAATTTATGCTAAATATATTCAAGTTCGTGTACTGATATTGAGTTTGCAATTGCTTTCCATCCTTAATATCTTAATTTACGCATACATCTTCTAATCGCATATACTAAAATTTCACTACGACAACTATATTCAAGTTTACAGCATTAAAAGTTATTTTAAACTGCGTTATAATTTCAATATTCTTATCTGTGCCTTCTACTCTTATGCACTAAATTTCTATTGAATATATATTCCAGTTTAGAGTAATAAAATTGACCTCGTAATTGTGTTACATAATTTATGTCCTAATTTATACCTTCTAAACTAAATTTCTGCTAAATAAATTCAAGTTTGGATTTTTGAAATTGATTTGTAATTGCATTTATATATGTCATATCCGAATTCAAAAGGTATCAAACTAATCAACTTGTATTTTATTAGCGAAACCATTTTATTTCTTCATCAAATTATCTTGAAAATTCTTCACTCCAGAATAGAAAACTGGCCTACCTTACAAATTGGTAATTCTATAACGTCTGCTAGCCTAGTACAAATTAATTTTAGTTAGAAATATGTATACAGAAAATATATCCTGTAGTGCTAAAATACTACTACATTAACAATACCAATGCATAATAAATGATACTTTTGTAATCTACCTAGGCAATTTGTTGGATGTTTTTCTGCCCACATTAGCCATTTATCAAGAATATGTCCGCAATCATCATTATAGTTTGCAAGTAAGTAATAACAATGGTAGAATTACGGTGCTATTATAAGCATGATTTGAACATGATGTCTCATCTATAATGATTTTAAAACGTAGGTCTTAGCTGAATGTAAAATTAGGCCAACTTTCAATAAATTATTGTGCCAGTTAGAGCAAAAGCCAGCCTGCTTGGGAGCTAAATTAGAAAATTACTTAACCTACCCTATGCATGAGGTAAATTCATATTTTACTATTTTGAAGAAAGCTTTTATGCACTTCATCTTATTTATTTATACTCAATTGAACTATAATCTTATTAGGTGCCCAATATAATTGTCACATTGCACAAGCTATTGGCTTTCACACCTCCTGGCCATGTTGATAGGAAATCATTAGAAAATGCTCAGGGTGTACTCAATGAAATTGCTAGGGTAAGTAGTCACTGCTGGTTTAAAATATGGAAGAAATTGATAAAAGGCTTAATTTGCTGACAAATAAACAAATGTGTTGAGATAAGATATACGATTAATGTTATAAGAATATCTGATCCATATAAAATAATTCTGACGTGCTAATCATCTCATTTGTCGTCTATAAACTTCCTAAAGGTAATGCAAGATGAGGTCAGCGAAACTGAGAGTATCCGAAAGAATCTCTCCATCGAAAGAAGAATTGTGGAAGGATGCGATATTTTATTGGATGTAGAACAATGCTTACTTCGTCAAGGTAAGGTCGAAGTTAAATATTCAACATGAAAGGTGTCATTACCTTTTATGGTATTTCATTTTTTAATTAATGATTCTATTCAATCTCGGTTTAACCTCTATCAGCATTAAGGCAGCATTATTTGATCATCATCTGTTTGTTTTATTCTTTGCATGAATCGATCTTTCTTTTCTCCTTTTCTGGACTACCATTATTTACTTTAAATATTAAATATTAATAGTATTATGCTTTGCAAACTTTAATTCTGTAATTAAATTACCTTATTCGATTTTAGTATTACAACTATCAAAATCAAGCTGGTCATTTCCTGTCATTCTCTGCTATCGTTTCTTTTTATTTAAATTATATTTGATGAATTTAGATATTAGCTCCAAAGACAGTTTAATTTTGTAGTCGATATAGTTAGTCAAACTTTTAGAACTATCAAAGCGGAGTCGGTCATTTTTACGACTGCATTATCTTCCCAATTTCTTGTTATATGAGTCTTTACTGTTCATCTATAGCCCATCCTACCTTTCTTTTGGTTTAAAAATGCATTCAATTCCTTTGCATAGTATGCCTATGGAACTTTTCCAGTTTGCAAATAAACGCGCATAATCAATCTTACTTTTATAACTACGTCATTAAAGTTAAGCGAACCATTTTATCTCTACGTTACAGTGAAACTAAATCTTCATTTCCCTTTATTTTATGGATGATCAGGTCCTCTCATTCAAGTATCGCTGGAAAAAACCAAAGATGTCTCGACTTTAAAAAAGAAATTAGCAGCAAAGACTAAATTTGGCGATAAAAATAACCCATCCATTCGATTATGCTTCCTATTTACCAAACATTTAATTATTACCTCGCATTTACAAAGTGGCCGTCTCCATATTGTTAAAGTAAGAGAAAGAATTTAATAGAGCTGTTAGCTTATAATTGTTATTCCGATATACTCAATAAAAGCAACTTACAATCTCAGCAGTCTTTATGATGAGTTATTCAAGATGTAGACTGCAACGGTGAATTATATGATGTAAAACCTTAAATTGCAGTTCTACCACTAGAATTAATTATTTAACTTTGCTTGGTTAATATTATATTGAATTCAAAAATTAATTTTCTGTACAAGTCAAATTTAAAAACTGTAATTCTATCTAAATACTATCACTTCAGGCATAAATTTATGGGTACAGTTAAATGTCCAATTATAAACTGTAATCCTGTCATCAAGTTCTCATTTTTAAATATAAATCTATTAAATATCTCAAGCTTTGAATTGCACGTATAATTCCATCATAGGAATGTGGTAAAATTCAATTGTCCGAAGCAATACTTGAAGAAGAACTCGATGATGACGGTAAGATACTCTATGTATTCAATAGAAGCAAATTGTACTTCTAATCTTAAATGCCAAGTAAGGTATAACGGAAAATCCTGAGAATATTTGATTGTATGACCTCTTCATTGACGTTTCTACTATGATTTAATGCCAGTGCAATTGGATATATTATTTCAGAAAATGATACCAGTTTACAATTTAAACTGACGATTAATCCTAGCAATTCAACGCCATATTCAGTTGTATTTGCTGCAGCCACGGAAAGAGAGAAAGCAGCATGGACAACCGATATTGGCCAGGTTAGCGAATGCCAATCTATGGATTGGCTTGAACTCATTGCAGGCCCAATTTTATTTCTGACTATTTACGTAGAAATCTATAGCCGTAAATGACTTTTAAATCTTTCTACTTATAGTGTATTGAAAATTTATCATCAAATCAATACTCTGCAGAAGATTCTACCCCTCGTTTTTCACTCAAGTAAGCTTTAAATCTTTAATCTATCTTCCTTGATTGCATCTTGAACGAAAATAATGAACTAATGATTCTTTCTAATGTTACTATCTGTCTTGAACTTTTCAGCTCTGATCCCGACTTATTTGAAGATAATTCTGATATTCGATTCAGTAAAGTATTAAATTCTTATAAAGTGCCGCAGGTAAAGTTGCTAGATAGAGATTTTCATGGGTTTTATAGACGTATACAGAAGATTATTTCCATCTGGATTATTATAAATTATTTATGTTGGAGCAAAATTCGTCCAAGTTACACCAATTTAAATAGTAATTCACTTCACCGATAGAAGCCATCTCTATCTTAATAATTCTTAATTATTAGCATCTTTTAGCTAAATATTAATTGCGCAAAATTCATAAAATCCAATTTAAATTCGTACCCCACTGCATTGCTAGAAAAAATTTTTCTTCTTAATCATTATTAATCATTACTGTAGTGTCTCTTAGCAAATTATTAGTATAAAATTGATCAAATCACACCATTCTTAATCAATATTTTACTTTGTTGGTGGAAAAGTTGCTTCCAGCTTGATTTATATTCGTTATTATTCTTCCGCTTTCGATTACTATTTGCACGAATTGAAGAAATGATTCCTGTTTAAATAAGTATTTTGCTGCATTTATTTATAGATTCGCCATGCAAGCACTACAAAGCTAATCCAGCGTTTATTGGATTTGCGATTTTTAAGCGTAGACTATCTTAATGTATTTCTGCTTACTCATCATGTTTTTACAACCAGTGAGCATGTTATCGATGAACTATTACAATTTTATAACAGTTGGAAAGGAAATAGCAATGGAATTGACAAGCATAACTTTGAATATATCTCGGATAATTCAGCTAGTTTCTACGGCCAGGTCTCTTTTTCTAGTGAATCGCCGCCAACATCGCCAGATGAAATTGCTCTTCCAACTTTGCATTACGTTCGAAATGATACAGCAGGTCGCCGCCATAGCTCTGATCATATCTTTTATGCTCAAGGTTATTCGGACGATAAAGCATTTCGGCCACGTTTACTAACCAATCCAATACCAACAACGGTTAAACCCTCCAAACAGCGTAAATCACCTCGTCGCCATCAGCCAGATTTGATGGGCAATGTTAACGAATATCTTACCAATACGCCGCCATTAGCTTCTGTTTTAGGGATGGTAACCACAACCACATCCACACCAACATCTTCGGTTAATTCATTAACATCTGCCTCGTCTTCTCCTCTTTCTCGACCTAATAATCTACGACTCTCCATTTATAATGATAAATTAGAGTCAGCTATGAAACAAGGATCGAATAAGAATAACACTAGTCTTTCAAGTGTTATGAAATCTTCTAAAAGTTTAAATTTCTCCAATAAGTCAACATCTAGTAAAGATAGCCCGACGACTCCATCCTCATCTTCATCGTCGTCAGGTTTTGGATGGAGACCATGGTCTAAACAAGTAAGTTTACCTTACCTCTATCGATATCGTCGTCAATGTTAGTAGTATTAGTCCATCTAACCAATACAGTAAAATAAATGAAAAGAATAGTTAGCGAAGGGTATAGAAATAGATTATATCAGATATGATAAATTTTCAATTATAAGTTGATAAACCTAGAAAGTTTAACCTGTAGCAGTCGGTATAATTAGGGTTATAAGTTGTAATAGAGCAAAATAGTTCAATCATGAAGCCAAATTGCACGAAGAAATTGCTATAATATCACGCTGACAATTGATATTTAACAGATAAATTTTCAATTATAAAATTAAGAAAAAGTCAGAAATAATTTAACTTATAGTAACTACCATAATCATTGGTGATATAATAAGGTATAATCATTTTAGGTAATTTAATCATAGAAAAGATCGGTAGTAAATAACGCGAGTATAGAGAAATAATATCTGACGGAATTATTTTTCGGCTATAAAGGAATCAAAGTTATGAATGATAAATGCAATGAACTGAGCGAATGAATAATATAGTTTTTGCCATTTTGGATAATTTGCTGTATGAATAATATATAAATAATAAATAAATTCCTGAATTATAGAGTAACGACAAGTCTGAAAAGACTACATCGCCCCCAGATGACAAGAAGTCAATTGTTAATGATACAAGATCAAGGGATTCTAACCATAAAATCAAGAGCCATCCAAACAGTCCGAGCACTAAATCCAAGTCTGCCCTATCTAGCTTAAAAGTAACTAATTTACAGTTAGATATATCTCGAAGAGCAAGTTTGCCCAATGTAACCGCTCAAAATGTTGCCCATGTTGCAAATCCCCAAATGAAAGATGTCCAAGAATCAGATCGTATGTTACAATTTTCATTTTCTTAATGATATTTCAAGTATTGTAGCAAATAGCCCATACGAATTTTACCATTTAAGTTAGAACGGATTAATCTGTGATATCACGCCATAAAATTTAATAACATTTGTAAAATAAGTGATCTTTACAATCCAATTTATCAGATTTCAATAATTCATAAATATAAGTACAGTTACTAACTAAGGCTAAAACATGAAAGAGAAGCGAATATCCTATAATTTACCATGTTGTTATTGAGGCAATGGATGATTCTTGTAATATAATTTATTTCAGCTTCCAAATGCCCTTCGCCTTCGCCTTCTTCATCTCACTTAGAGGTAACGGAGCAAGCAACTAGAACTTCTGCTGGTGTTGTGGTAACATCTTCACGTGATTCATTACGGCGTAGTAGTGTACCACCAGCTGTTGCAGCTTTCGCTGTAGCTACCTCGCCAGTTCCAGCTCGGAAGGAAAAAGATAGTGCTCCACCCAAGCAGAAAATATCCCGAGGTAATCCATATCGACCTGCTAAATGTCTAAGAAATCATTATTTCTTGCTATGATACTAGGCTAAAATTTGTTTTAAAGCAGAATATTGGGCCTGTAAGATATTTAGCTTATATTTAAACCTAGTAATTTTATTTTCTAAGGTAGTATCGCTTTGCACAATGCAATTGACAGTAGTTATAATTACACAGCCGCATCCCCGCAATTTATGCAATACAAGTATTTGTTTATAATGGCAGCTAACTAATTTCTATCATAATATACATAGATCGCTTTCTTCTTTGCATTAGAAAAATTAGTTTACCTGGTCATATTTACGGCCTACATGTGTTTAAATTTGTAAACAGTCTCATAAATAATGATCTTAAGGTTACTAATTAATCATTTTACTTTCATGATTTATATAGGTCGTGCTCCGTCATTTCGTGATGGCATGCTGAGAGTGCTAAAAATTTTTAAGAGTTGGCTTTCTAATCAACCTCAGGTTAATATTTTGTATTGAATTTAATCCTTAGCAATTCCTAAAAGTATGGCATAGATTGACCTGACTTTTACGGTGTAAGCTACCTAGTAATTGATGTAATTATAATAAATTGGATCCGAATTACCAAATTGTGTCCTAATGATACCTTGAGTGATACTGTAATATTAATCCATGATGTGATATTCAGAATTATTACCAACCGTATTGCTTTACTTCGTGATCGCAGATACATTACCACTTCCATTCTATACTTTGAATATAAAATAGAAATATGAATGCTTATTGCATATTTTTGTAATTTTATTTTAATACGCAAGTTACATCTTGGAAAAATAATTTTATTCTTTAGTATTGCTATTGAATTTGCATTGAGGTTGTGCTAACTATATTAGCTATATATTTACTACTCCTGCAATCATCAATTAATTAATTAGTAAAAATATTTGCAATTCCTAATTACCTAGGATTTAATAAACGATGAAGTTTTAAAGAATAGAGTAATTGAATTTCTAACCGATGCTTGCAATGATGCTAGCACAATCGGCTTAGAAGATAAACTACCAAAGGCCATGATCAAGTAAGTAAATAGAAGATATCAAAGTTACTATACAAGTAAATCAACGATGGCTAAATTCCGTGTTTTTCCTGTATCTGACTAATTAATGGTTCTTAATAGAATTATGAACTCTCAAGATGTCAGCATTTATGCTATAATGTCACTTGAAAAGCGCTTTAATGTTACATCAGATGTAAGTGAATTATAATTTTTGTGTATCTCTTTAGCGATATCGATATTTTAAAGCCATGTTTTGGTATTCCAACTATAGGATGTTAATTAAGTTTGTGCTAAAATTAAACTATTATAGGTGGAGGATACAACACTTGATGAGATTCCTGTTCTTGAAATGGCTGAACAAATGTGTCTTTTGCATTATTATATCTATGCAGCAATCGGTTCAGGGTTTGTATCATCCAAATGAGATCATTAAGCAGTAATATTGTATTTACAAATTTATAATTAATAGTATACAGTTCATATGCATTTTATATATGTATACTCATGCAATGCCTCAGTTACTATATTAAATATCCTAATTCGAGCCTTTTAATGTCAGAATAACTATTACCGATGTTGTGTAAAATAAAGAATATGTCTTAATGTTACTTATCAAAGACTATTAGAAATCGAATATAGGTTTTAACTTGATTTATAATATAAATAATTCTATATTTAAGGCCAGAATAAGGCTTAATATCTATTTTAAATTTTAATCTGATATTGAGTAGTGAACTGCTCCAAAAATCTTGGATGAAAGGTGATCGTGATACTAAAGCACCAAACGTTCTTCGGGCAATCCACTACTTTAATCATGTAAGTCAATATTTATAGGGATTTAACCACTGGTTTCGTTAGTTGTAGATTCTCTAATTTATCGCTACTATAGTCGACCATTTTTAGACTTAACTAAACTGATTATAATTGAACAATACTTTGAAAAAATTTTACCATTTAAAGCCAGTAAACTTGCGGCGTCTCTTTTTATATTGGCGGCAGGCTTTCATGAAAATATAATAATTTTACGCTACAAGTAAAAAATATAGTGTCTCTTCTCATACTATGTAGGAATCTTTCATGAGTCTGTGAAGAATCTACATCGATAATAAAATATCTCGACGCTTACTATAGCATCATACCTTTAGTGAAAAAACTGTTAAATGATTAGCATACTTATATATTACAACTATCAGGAATCCGCTGTAGTATTAGAGATAGAGATGTTTATCTCCATTCTAGCAAAAATTTATGGATTAATGAAGAATCTACATTATTAATATTTAGCTATAATATGATATAAGTCAAGAAACATGCTATTACATGATTGAAATACTTAAAGGATCGATTTTTGTTAATAGACTAGTCGTTTGGTAGCTACTGAAATCTTAAACCGTTCTCAACCTGCTGCTCGCGCTGCTGTAATTGAGAAATGGGCTCAAATTGCCAATAATTGCCGCTGTATGAATAATTTCAACACTGTTATGGCTATTGTTGCTGCTCTTACCAATAGTAGCATTCATAGATTAAAGAAAACATGGGAAAAAGTGTCAAAGCAGGTGATCATGTCCCCTTGTTCAATGATTATATTATTTCGATAAAGCCATTTTGATGATTTCTTGTAGCTTTTAATGATAGCTAACATTGGCTGACAGTAAATATACTACCTAAATACTTCATTCTATTCTATTTTTAGCAAATTTTTTTATTTTGAAATCCTTTATAGTATTCTTTTGCTGCATTATTCGATTTTTAAACGGTAAATAATATTATTGAAAAATAGTAATCAATAGCTATCTATTCTATCAATCAATAGGAAAAGTTAATTATCAAACGATTGGAAGAGTTAGCCAGTGCTGATAGACGATTTAAAAATGTAAAAGAGGCTTTGCGATGGTAAGTAATTAGGAGCTTGATGTGATTGTTTCAATCACCACCTATCCTTTTACTGTAATTGTTCATATCCTTGGTAATGATGTCAGTCTTAATATGATCTAGCTGTCAACCACCATGTGTACCCTATCTTGGGTTATATCTATCCGATTTGACATTCATGGAAGAAGCTAATCCTTCAGAAACTGATGATCAGTTGATTAACTTTTCCAAGCTAAGAATGGTAAGCAACATTTCATATACCTTCATCATTTTATTAATTAATACCTAGCTTTCCTGCAGAAGGTAGTAGATTGAGTATACTTTGCTATCTGATATTATCCTTTCTATTAATATTTATTATTTGATAAAAATTCGTATAATAATGCCATATTATAATCTGTTTGTAATATTTAGAAAGAAACCAGTTTATTTAACTTCCAATTCTAACAGTGATTGTATAGAGCATTGAAATACTTTACTGCTATCCTTGATACAGGAAATCGGTTGTGAAGTGTATACTTTACGTACCACTAAACTGGGGATTTGATTTTGTCTATAATTTGCTTGTTTAATTTCTAACTGATCGTGAGACCACAATTTATAAATACAAGTTTATACAAACTATGCTCGATATCAAAAGATTAGGATTTACCTAGAAAGTAGTTCGCTCGCTTTTAAACTGATAGATATTTATAATCGTGTCACAGATTGCACACCTCATTGAAGAGATTAGGATCTATCAAGGAACTCCATATCGTATGCGATGCTTACCAAAGGTACTTCATGATGCCAATTTAAATATTTCTGAGTCGAGTATCACTATGTAGCAATTGCCCTCGACTTATTCTGTTGAAATGTATAAATTTTTAAATTAACGCTATTGTGTCTTTCGTTACAGGTCATGAAATATATTTTAAATGCTAAACCAATTAACTGCGACAAACAATTATTTGAATTATCATTGCAACTTGAACCTCGTTTAACGTAAAGAAAGGCCAAATTAATTTATAATAAATATTGACTAGGTTTCTCGATATGCCATTTTACCCGACAGTAGAAAGTACTGTACAGTTCAACGTGAACTTTTTAATCGTATTCTGCTGACAATCACGTTCAAGATAGATATTTACTTCGTATGTCTATAATTCTACATTTGTGGTAAATCCTTTGCACAGTAATTAATTGATTAATAATTATCACGCGGTATAAATCTGTTTCTGGCGCCATAAATTAGAGTATAATGATTGATTCATGCTTAATAGTGATGAATGTTATGTCATGGATATCTATGAAATTGCTACTAGATTATTCATTAACTGACTTTAAGAATACATTTTACTTTTTCTGGATATAAATTTTAGCTATTGTGGCTAGATATTTATCTTCCTTGTACGTGAGCTAACAAATTAAGAAATCAGCCCTGAAAAAAAATAACTTTAATTTACTTGTAAAACGTGTATTTAGCAAGTACAGTATTTATAGCAGTCAAAATAGGATTATTGAATTTAATTTTGTACGCCACTATTTGCATTCTTGTTTTGCTAATTTTAACCTGCTATTAACACCAGTTGTGCAGACTTGGTTCCATATATTCTAATGTGGGCCATCATGTAAGTTAAATTACCAAAATTACTAATGGTAAATTGACGCAAGAAGTTAAATTTTTCCCCTTTCACATTTGATTCCTTCATGATCATCTCGTTCATATCGAGTCAAATTTTGCAATTGTTTTTCATGAACGAAATAGAGATTAAACTTATGAAATCATTAAACAATTGTAACTAGAATAACTGTGCTCATTTGTAAAAGCTCTCCTTATGTAAGCATCATTAGACGAGCCTATACTTGCTGATCATTAATTATAATATTGCAGTTGGAAATCTGCTTATCGAATTTTACCGATTACATGTACCTAGTTGAGGTTACTGCATATACAATTCTAGTAGTCCACGATCAAGGTCATTTCACTATTGATTTCTTTATACGGTATGTCTTGTCTTACTTTATGCCGTTAGGAATTAGAATTTATTGATAAATTTTTTAAATGTCAGCAGGCAATTGTTATGGTGATTTATTATTTCTATAAAATTGTCTTTGCTTCATTTTAATTATTAGTTGATCGTTACTGATGCTTTTATTTGTAGGCTTTCTCGTATTTACTACATTAAAGATTCGATTTTTTGCAAATTCTTGTTATTTCTTGAACAACGAAATAGGTGTACAATTAAATCGACATTTTTAATGCTTTGGTCCAATTTAAATTTGCATTATTTACGATTAATTATTGCTTGTCTTAAACTGTGATCTGTGTTAAAAAAAATATGCGAGGATATATATAATTCCAGTAGCTTGCGCTTTTAAACTACAAATATGGCGTCTTCAATTTAAACATCCATATTTTGGATTATACATAAAAGTCGATATATTGATTTAGATGATGCGACATATCAATAAAAAATCAAAAAATATCAACTCATTGACTCAACTCGTTATAACAGTTGGTAATTATCGACTAGATATCTTGCAATCTTGTAATATAATCCTTTCTTTGTTTTAGTAATTATTACAAATATAGTGGAAAACTTTCACTTGGAGCTTCATTTCTTCTTGTTGTGTTTACTACGGTCACTATCTTGGCTTAAGGTAGTTAAAAATTCTCTAATAGTTTTGCAAGCCATTTTCCCATCGTCATCCAGGCTATCTTCTTCTAATTCTGGTCGTGCAGACAGCAATTTTTTGATTGTGTTATGGGGAAGATGGAATACGTACTGTAATAAAGTTTCCCAATCGTGCTTGTAATTAGTAAGTTTGTTGTAATTGAATTTACCCCAATCTTTAATATGATCATAATAAAAGAATGGGTTAAAGCGTTCCGATAGATGCTCGTAAAACTCGGAATTACTGTCCTCCGATTTCATTTGCAATTTATTCTCTAGCATTTCCTAATAAAAATACCAAATTATACTTAAAATGATTACAGAACAAATGCATAATAATTAGCAAAAATTAATTAGAGACGCTGGTTACCAGTTTGGATATTAAGAACTCATGAACAGTTCGTATTTGAGTGACCACTAAATAGAAGAAATTATGTAGCATATTTAAGAATAATAAAAATTCCTTAAACTACATTGTCAATACGTTAAAAATTTAATCATTCTTTTTAACCTGTGACATCGAAATCTATCGATTCAATGATGGATGCAAGGAATAAATCATCTTGAAAGTTATTACCGATGTCATAGACTTTTTCCGATTTAACTTTGCTAAATAATGTATGCAAGTAATCAAAAGATACATATATAATTCAATAATACAAGGATAGTTTTACATTATGTAGCATTTAAATTTATTACATTCCGCAAAACTAGTTAACAATAACACATACGTAGGCTGTGGTCAGCTATCAAGCAACAGTTACTATTGCAAAGTTTATTATTTAATTACATACCCATCGAAGAAGTTCTTAATTCTGATTATATCTTCTTCTAACGTTTGTAGGTTAAGATCGATGTACGGGAACTCAACAGCTAGGGTGCGATTTACCATATCTTGGTTATTGAAATTGAGGATATGCAAGAAGCAGCTTGCAAACAGTTGACATTTAGTATCATCAAACTTAGGGTTATCCACCGCAAATTGCATTAAGAAATTGTGAATGCAGTATCTAATAACCTATAAGGAATACGAAAGCGTAATAAGTATGAAGAAGCTATTTCTAGTTTCATAGTAATCAATAGGTATAAAATGGTTTAATAATATTTACGTTTTATTATAGTGTACATGTTCAGTTTAAACCTACCTTTAATCCAAGTTTATCATTTTCCACTAATTGCTGATCATTTTGAAACTGTTGATAGTAACCTAGTCAAAACATAGTTTATTTAGTAAAGCAAATGAAATTCTTAATACAAAATGTCGGCAACTGATGATAGAAGATGCCGTACAACTGTTGTAAACAGAATCGCAGTACCTTTCAGGAATGCTTGAAATTCAAGAATATTAACTGGCATACTGGGTAGGTTATCTGCTAAACTTCTTAGTGCTATATGAAGCGATTCCAAGAGGACCAAATCTGATACCCGAAAAAATTTGTTAATACGTATTGTGATATGCAGTACGTACTGTACTAACAAAATTGTAAATAATCGTTCTGAAATGATAAAATAATTCAGTTAAATTTTTACCGAAATCAGCCTTTCTTTTCTGGATGGGACAACCACAAGGTAATGTTTGTAAGGTAGACGATAACGTGCCTACATCGCTTTCAGAATGTAGGTCATGCAACTTGGAGATAGCAGGCATAAACGTGCTAGGTGTAAGAAGAGGTAAGTCAGTTACAAGTAAAAATTTAATACTAATACTATCATAAGTCAGTTCTGACATATCCTTAAAATTGATGTTATTCCTAACGATTATGTTATAGTATAATCTTATACATAGTTTACTAACTTAAACAACCATTGGCTAAGAAAATCGTTAACGCTTCGCAGCCAGTGTATTCCCTGCATATGTTATTAAAAGCTGAAGTTAGAAGTCACAGGATATGGGTATTCAAGCAAATTAGTCTACGATCAAATAACTTAATTGCATGTCATGATCACATAAACAATATCAACATCTAGATTATAAGTTATTACCGAAATATCGTCAACGTTTCTTTCAAAGAATAATGGTAATTTATCATTTTCCCTGTATAATCGATAATCACTGAGTAAGGGAAATACCCATATTGCGATAAGAAGAGGTAAAATATCTTATGGGTATAATCAAATCGTGCTTACTTTTCAACAATGCGAGTCAATACTTCATGAACTGCCCGGCTACGACAATGACTGTCCAATATAATTAGCACAGATAGTAAACAATCAATAAAGGAATCTTGTAAATCATTTGAAGGTTCAACGGACATATCACTGCTTTCCGACATTGCATCGTCCGTATCATCATGGTGAGGTGTGAATTCTATCGCAGATTTATATAGTTCAGCGGTATCTAGATTTAGATATATATGGAAATTAATTGATTAAAATAGTAACATCTTTTGGATTGAAAATTAATGTGTAAAGCAAAATAATGTATCGATGATTACTGCCAGCAAGATCTTAATAATGGCCTACCTGTTTCAGTTATAATTAGCTTCAAAGCGGAAAATTTATTTGATAGTAAAATCTGTCAGGATAATTAAATAGCGACGATTTATTTTTATTATTTTATTTGGTAGATAAAAATTTTTACAGGGTCCTAATGCATTATTTTGGCAGAAAAAAATTCTTCTTCAACAAGTCTATCGTGACAACTAATCAATAATATCAAGTATTTTATGAAGCTGGATGAGATTCTCACCTGTAATATTAGTTTCAGGTCAATACCAGTTCGATGGCGCAATAACTTGATTGCAATCTTCAATGATACTTGTGGTGGTATATCACTGCATAAGAAGAGATGAAATTACAAATTTTAGACAATAAACTTGCTTTCAAAATCATGACCGAATAAAGTCAGACTTTAGGTGTTAATAAATTATAGCAAGTATCTTTAATCCTAAAATTACCTCAATTCAATCGAGCTGAACATATCTGGTAAGTAATTGCTTAGCCAAAATGTTCCACAAATGTTATTAGAACCAGAGATTTTAGAGCCATCCTGGAATCGTGATATTGCCTTTGGGTAAACGTCAATTGGACAAGATTCAGCCACAACAATCATTAGCAATAAGTTGCAATAGTTATATATTTTTGGAATTTCCGATTGTGGATTGAAATCAGCTGTAGATAGTGCATGAAAATCTGGATTTACTAATGAATTCACAGTTTGTCCAGTAAACCAAATGAAAGATAAGGAAATTAATATAATTGCGTTAATATCGGCTCTATAATTATACAAAAGTAGAAGCAATGTTACATAAATTTAGTAATATTTTCAAATGTTGATTTCTAGTGTAATAGACAAGACAGAGTTTGGTATGCAAGGCATTTTGACTGTAAATACTAGAATTTCTTACCTGAATTGGCATAAGCGCCTTAATGACGGCTTAATTTGACCATAACGGAAAGAAAGTGTCAATAATGAATTTTCCAACACAGATATAAAAATTCTTTGTGCTTGTTTTAAAGGACAATATTGCCACAGATCATGTCTAATACTATGCAAGTAGTAGTTCCACATTTGAATTGAGAAAGAACATCTTTTGCCCTGTAAAAAAGTATCAAAAGCATCCTCAAGCAGTCGTTAAAGCAATATTGAAATCACAGTAGGCGATATCAGGAGTATGTAGACTGTGACTGGCAATTTTAGAATACGAAGCAATACCTCATAAAATGTTCTTGGATTAGAATAATTGTTACTATCTGAATCTTGAAGGACTGTTGTTGAGATAGTCGTATTATGATGTTCCACGATTAGCTCGCATAGTGATTCTACTAAATCGGCATAATGCTCATAAGATGTAAAGAACGACAACCTACATTGTACATTAAAAAATGATCAAATGATACGTGTTTATTACCAAAGCGAAGTATGTAAAATATTATTTCTATTCATCTCATAAGATGTCGCAAATTTTACCTAGTATCCGTGCTTAGGATTTGATCAAACGTTAATAATCGATTTTTGATAAAAGCAGCAGTGGCAATTGCTAAATATGCAGGACTAGGAGACATATCAGCAATAGCTTTTTGGCAAATCTACATAATAAAAGTGAAGCGATTCTTAGTAGACTACTTTTAAAATTTGAATTACAACATATTGTAGCTTACATCCCAAAGATGATCGTAATATTTTGAGAGTTTATCGCCTACCACATCCACAATAACAACTTTAAGAGAAGTATATATTTTTCCATAATCGTTAGTTAATATCGGTAAAAATTTATCCCAAATTTTAAACAATGAAGCGCAGCCCTATGTATAAGGTATTGATCGAATTAGTATGTGTAGTACTTACGGAATGCTATAACTATTCAAACACAATAGGAACATTTACTTTTGGTATCATATGTATCAAATGAATGGATCTATATAATTTATAGGTGATTAGCAATAAAGGCGGTTAGAATTATTGATATGATTAACGACTAACCTTAAAGATAACCTTAGGTTGATGATGAGAATCTAGATTATCTATTTCGTAAGATTTTGAAATAAAAAAATTTAAATTCAGCTCAAGTAAGTGAACGTGACGATCAAGTGGATCAGTTGAATTTAAATCAAGTCTTACATGTAGCATTGACAGTAACAGTCATATTATCCCATGTTAAATGGCTTTCAGCCTGAGTGGCTTGTTCAATAGTTATATTCGAGTAGTGGATTAAAGCTTGAGCCATTAACTGCACATACGGTTTAAATACTCTACTTAATATAGTTGTTGGCGATTCTAATTTCGAGGCAGATCCTGCACTCAGTAATAACTTTTGATGGCTTTGCTTATCAGCAGCTGCACATAGTTCTAACATATCGGTGATAGTCTTAACAGATTGAGATACAATCGCATATATGTCACATATCAATTCTAAATCGTCAAAATCCATAGCTGTTTGTTCAGTACTATTAAGATAGCCATTTAAGGAATGCTGCAACCAATCGTGGACATCATTTAATGATTTTTCCACATACGTTGTTCTAATATACCAATCGATTAAGTCTTCGTGTTGATTTAAGAGCGGCATTAATACCGCAGCATCTTCATGTGTACAATTGGTTACATGATCGAAATAGAATTTTAATTTTGCTATTTGTGTTTGTTGTCCGCTTTGTGCTTCACTAATAGGTAATACTGATGGATTGGTGTTAATACTATCAATGACGTGTTTCATTTGCCACCATCTTATACGCTGATATTGCTCTAATACTTCACCTTTATCTAATAACATTAGTAGACTACCTAGATAATGTTGTCTTCGCTGACTGATAAATGACATATTCGGCATATTTTCATTTACATTGACAATTGGTAACTGGCGTAACTTCTCAAATAAACATAATTTTAAGTGCTGCTTGATACTTTCCCAAACCACACCTTGTTCACTTTCCATTTCACTCTGAATCGTGTTTAATGAATTTAGCGATTGTGTGTCCGCATTAGCGACATTTTCATCCGTCAAGATAGAAGGGATAGATAAACCATGATCAGCAGCTAATTCTAGAAGATCATTGAGAACAACATCTTCATTGCCACGATTTTCACGTAACAATTTTCTCTAATGATTGAGAAAATGGTTAGAATTATTAATTTCCAGTAATAATAACGTTGATTCTACAGTACCTGCTATAAATATAGCGCAAAATTTTAATCAATTATCTGGTACTCTTGTTTTATATCATCGATTTTTTTACACTATACAAGTAAGCGTCGTACTTAAAGTAATTATAAGTAACGAAACAATCCCGTTGCTGTCTAAGACTACGATGAGTATAAACAAGGTATTATACTATAGATAAGAAGTGAGATAACACTTTTATCAACACAGTAAAGACGTGAATTGCTATTAAAGAAATTGCGTACGTGTAGGTATTTTGGAGATAGAGTCATTGGAGTGACAACTACAGGATTTACAGTACAATCATATATTATATTCACAATTTGCACGATAGCGAGTTTAACGCGCTAATCCAGATATTTCGCTAAAAACTAACACCTATCCTCAATTTCAACGATCTTTGAATTGTGTTGACACTAATAGAAATATTTCTGGCTACTGGTCAAAAATCGATGATATTGAATAGTTTACCTTCATCCTCTAGTATTATCAGTTAAGTTCTATATTACGGAGCATTAGCCAATCAAAAAATTATCATTACATCAATAATAGTCGGTAGTAATAAGTATTTACGCGATTATAATAATAGACGAAAGGTAACAGTTTGAAATTAACTAAGGAACACTACAGTGGTAATTTAGTAGATACAATTTATATGATGTCATGCAGGAAAGTTATTAGAATTGCATACTAACCAATTTTTTTAAGAATGTAACTGTTAATTGAGGATCGACATTACACGTATTATTTTCGATAAAATTGGAATGTCGAACAAATTCAGTAACATCACGGATGGTCTTGATTTTTCTGCCATGATCTTGGATTGCAGTACTATAACTCATAAACGCTTTCCGATGTTCCTCTAATCTGTTAAAGTAAGTCAAAAAGAATTTTTGAAACCTTATGAAAATAATAGCAGTGCATAGTAATGTGAATCTTAGAATCTCAATTAAACAGCTGAAATTGGGAAATACTGTATTGATCACTGTTTTCGCTATACGTTTCCTTCATTAGGTACTACGCGTATATAATAGTTGCCTTCATCTAATTCATGTTGTAATAGCATACAAGAACGGTATATAGACGATCACTTACAAAATTACAATATGACATCCTAATGCTAAATCTCTATTACTGTATCTGTTATAGATCTCTTTGATACAATACAAAGTGAGACGTATTATTCGCATGATAATGGTCTACAGGCAGTCAGAGATTTTTTAGATCGATATTAGGTTCTAACATATTCGTAGAACTTTATCATATAATGTAATGCTACAGTTATTATTTTTATCTTTTTGTCTATCTATAGATTATGCTAGAATATGTTGCTAGAGTATAATAAGGACTATCAGCTATCAGATTAGGGGTCATCAAAGTCTTTCATGCCCCTTAAATTAGTCATAGTTCAGCTTACAAAATGTGACCAAATTTACTAAAAATAAAATTGATCAGAGAAATACCAGCGATAACTTCACTAAATGTTTAGGTTTATTGTTAATTGAACATTAATGATACGTAGCTATAAGATGGAAGGCTATTCAAGTTTTAAATCAATTGAATATTAGCTAAGCCATGCATTTAACATTATGCTAGATCAATTTTGATAGTACAGAATACTCGACTACTATGCTAGAACTTGTTTATTAGCACTGTTTGAGAAGGACACTAGTTAGTGGATTAGCAGCTATTGAAGAATTTTTCAAGTTATCTGTGAATTAACTAAGATATACAATCGAAAGTTTCTAACTGCAATGGTTATTCCATTTAATAGCTAGATATTTCATGAACGTAATACTTATACAAGAGAATCTACAGATAGTTCGAAGCTGAAATGCTATACACTTGTTCAATCATCTAGGCACAGCACTAAATTCCCTTCAAGTAGGAATCGCAATCAAATTGATGTCTAAAGCTAGACAACGAATGTACTCTATTTCAGTTGACTAGTCCTTCTACATCCGTAATAAATGCACTCGTTCTTGCTTGTTCCTTCCTCAAGGCAACAGAGAAGCAAAACCAAGATTGTCCAAGATTGTAAATACAAAGTAGCACAGATGGTGATGACATTGCAATATAAATAATAAATCTTCAATCTTCATTTGGACACATCTACAGAGTGCAGCTATTGCAATTTACTCTTATCTATGTAATCTTACCCAGAAGAGCAGTTATCGATAGCTTTATCCAAGCTGGATATTAATTTATCCAACTGTTCAATGGATGGTAAATTAGTTACTTCAGATGGTGTATAAACATGATTGATATCATATTTAGCCAATTCCGTCCTAGCTTGTTTTCTCTTAAGCGACATCTCTCTCTCTTCGACTACTAAGACTATGATATTCAAATAATAGCTTCAATCTCTTCTCAGCATATTATATAGTTAATACCACCTAAAATGTCTCAATTAGTGCGCTTGCAGTCATGAAATTTCTTTTTCCAAGCAATGCTTAGGTATAATCTGAGATAAATGACCGTCAGAGGGTCTTGTTTCCATGACATTATTATCTTCCAATACAGTGATCTATACCAGGGCTGATGATTACCGGGTCAGTACAGTAGCACGTAACCTAACAACCAGAATAATGAGCCACCAGGGGCAAACGTAAACTTTGCCAGCCCTTCCTTACAGTACTGTACACAGTGTACAGTGTACAGTCTCTGCTACTTACTACTGTAGAGTTACTACGGTAGAAACTTTTCTTCGGATACTGCATATACAGTGTACAGTAATTCCCTACTGTTCCATGGGCATACTCATGCAGCCCATTGTAATATAGGATTCACAATGAGAAACGCTCTCTCTTTACTGTGAGGTACTTTGATCACAAGTCTGCATGATACTGTACATACATACAGTACAGTAGAGTACAGTGTACAAGCCTTGTTCCTGTTCGATCCTGTATAAATGGTTGTCGTGACTGCTCTAAATCATGGCTGCTCGATCGAAAAAGTTAAAGCCATTAATTGATGTTGATGAGCTGCCTTCTCCACCTCAAAGACCTACGGTAATGCAAATGCAAGAAGATTTAACCAATATACTGGCGAATGACGCTGTTTTAGTCTCGTTACCTTCCAATTGGCAGGGTTAGTAAGCTTTTTCATTCAAAGTTTGCATTTGGTATACAGTATGACCTAAATCTTTCAATTAGTCAATGAATGATAATTGATTGTTTCTATCGAGCGCACTTTAAGATCTAAAATACTGCAGAGTACGGAGGGACTTTAGCCTTAAATCTCGAATAGGACTGATTATCAATTAATATTTACTTTTATAATAGATACAACTAATTTTGATCCATTGACCATCGATCTTACTGAAAAGCAACGGAATGATTTATCGGATGCCGATATACTATCATTATATAACAAAGCTGAACAAACAGTGAAATTAAGATCACAGATTAATTCGTTACTGGATGAAAGTAGTAAGAACGTATCCATGATAGAAGAGAACGAAAGAAATCTAAAAGAACTGGCGTCCAGAATAAAATAACTACAAGATGGACGGTAAAATTAGAAAGGGACGAATTCAGTATGGTTCCCGATATGGAGTACTCTGTCAATGGAATGTTCGTAGTTAGTGTCACCGGAGCATAGTTCATTGCCGTGTAGTATCCATATATCGTCATTACTGTAACTAAAGCAATTGTGGTCATTTTAAATAATTGATGTTACATTTAAATTTGCAAATTCTTAAATTGATCTTATTCTCGTAACTGAGAGACTGTGTACGCGTATGGGGTCTCGAAGCTGTAGCTTATATAAGTCATATTAAATATATTTCTATACGTATGCTGCATACTGTACTGTATGTATATTCTGATATGCTCATATGTATGCGCTATACGTATACACATGATGGCTTATATATTACTACCTAGATATCCCTATTTAACAATATTTTCTGTGTATTATAAATATACCTTGTATATGTTATATATATATATATTTCAGTTTTTTATATAGGTGCAGAGTTCTTTCTGCTGTACTCATTACATGCACGTTGCACAGCTAGGTGCATGTAAATATGTTATTGTAAATAAATTACGTTATGAGGAAGCCTACAATGTACCAGCTAAATTAGCTTTATGTCTGTTTAGATATATTAAGATTTTCATCCATATTAGCTTCATCTTACGAATATCCAATATCACCCATACATCAATATTAGTTTAAGAAAATCGTTAAACTAGCTATCTATCATCATCTCAGTACAATAGTATTTGATAATAATAGAGCAGCTCCATGTAACAAGAAATGCTTTGAAATTGAACAGGACATTAATGAAAATAAAACCTTAGACGAGTTATGTATAGTTTTGGGTGTACAGTGCACCCTGAGACTTCCAGTTCAGACATATACAGTAATATGAATGAATAGTTATGAACGTTTCGTGAATGAAAATTTCTAACATAAAAAAGTATATGAGTAACGGAAATTAAGGTTCGGTGTCTATTGACCGTCCGTCCGATATCGCCAATTTAACTAGCTCAGAATAAAACTAGCTGTACAGTATGACTATTAATTAATACGCAGGGGGAATTTTCTGCTTTGTTGATGACCTGTAAATAGAAGCGAATGGTACTAATTACTGTATATCGTACTTTGCTATTGCCTTATTGTAGGTGCATAGACCACTAAAACTATAGAAAGAGACCTTTTAGTTTAGTATACAGTATATTATCATATCTCATACTGACTGTATTGAGAGAGTCGGGGCTCGGGGCTATGCATTGCGTTACCTTGGTAACAGTAAATAGCAACTTCAATCTTTGGCAAGTCGTTCTATATCAATTAATTATTTACAGCATACACTACTATAGTTGTAGACTAGATTACTACCAATCAGTGTTACAACTGCTCTGTGAAAACATTTAATATCTCCTCTGCACAATACGCGTATTACAGTTAACAAATATCGTAACCATATTACTGTATTTGCTGCTACACCTACGATAGAATTTGAATTAAAACTAGTATATAAACTCCGAGCGAAGGGATCTATTTAAAATTTATATATATATACTTCATCATAATTATAGTCATATCACATTTTCGAAATACTATTTTTCAAAGACATGACTGCGAGAGAACTGTATCAATCCCGTCTATACAACTCAACTTCTTTCCGATATGAATGTATTGGGACCAAAACAACCGCAGCCGTTAGGGATCAACAACGAAGAATTCAGGTTTACTACAATAACTTATTTCGAATAACTATTGTAGACTCCCTGCTTGAACGGTCATATCTTCTGTTCATGTATAGTGCATGTATATGTTTTTGTAACGTTAAAAATTCCTGCAAATTAGAAAGTTAACTTAGCATTTTTAAAAGATAGCTCGTGTTTAGCTCTTTTAAATTTATGATTATGATACTCTAGTCTAAAAGTAAAACGCTATATTTTTCAATTGTTATTAAGAAACTTGCTAATGTGCACTTAATTTTTTATGATATGATACATCGATATAGAAAGAAGAAGAGGTCTTGAATAATGAAAGGATTGTAGAACTGTGAGTATGTTGCGTTGTTTTACGAATATGATATTGTCAAACTTAATAGCCTGCAAATTCTTGGGTAATTAATCTACACTGATTTCAGTATTCATTTAATTTGATGGACCTTTATACTGTATAATTGTCATATCACAGATCTTCTAAAGGAAATTTGATAGCTAAGTGGTCAGAACAGCTCGAAGAGGTAAACTAATAAGGTGTTTACAGTACTGTATAAAGGATCGTCTAGATACTTGTAATCTGTATCTGCTTATGTGAAGCAGAACAGACAACAGAAATAATGTAATTTATTGTGCATATATCATTCTCATATTTACTTATATTAGTCATATTTGCCAAAGTATAACATTTTTTCGCGCTGATAATTCAAGCTGAAACTAAATATTGGATTTTAATGCGATTATGAAATTTTCCCGAAGAAGCCAGTAAAAATGTTTCAGGTGCATTTCTAAAGTTATCATTTTATGACAGGCTAGCGACCGCAGAAGATTGAAACATACGCATGAAGGAATTCGACAGGAAATGAAAATGGCTAATAAAGAATTGTTATATGTAAGCATAAGACAATAATTAAACTGCGCTAACATTAGACAGTAACTTATGAATTTCGCTATCACCAGAACTATGTCAGTATTGCGAACGTGTAATAGCTTCTTACATTTATTATATAGTACTCGTACGTAGATATTGTTAAAGTGATATCACAACTTGCTGTAACTATATCTATTATATGTACATTTAAGTGAGTATAAATAAGTTTGGTGCTATAATAGAATTCATCTATATATTTAAGGTACGCCGAGCGCAATTAAAAAAGCTACTTGAGGACGAGCACATTCAATATGAACAGGAGCTTCGAGGAATGGGAAAAGCTTTCTACAAAGAACGAAAATAGGATCAACAGCTCACGTCGAGCTGAAAGCATAACTATCATAATTTCAGATTTCTATTTATTCAACAAATCTTTTAAAGGAAATTTATTCAATTCATAGTAGCTACTAAATACAAATTATCATTTGCGTGCGATAGCAAATATTGTTTATAATAGTGCCTGAGTATCACATAGTATTCAATTCTCATTAAACTTAAGGATAGCACCGTTTAGACCGAAAGAGTATGCTCATACTACTAATGAATTTTAGTTACAATTACTCACTTGTCTTTATACAATTTTCTATATTAGGTATTGTAATACCGTACAGTATTACCAAATGATAACGCTAGCGTCGTATAAAAATAGTAATAGGTTCATTACTTCGTTTACCGGTTTAGGAAACTTTTACATAATGGATATAATTGACAATAGATAAAAATCTTGTTGTATAAGAGTTAGTGTACTTTGCTTAGGTATAAAATCCATAAACAGATTTATATTAACGAATAAACACTTTCGAATATTTGAAGTAGTAGGTGAAAATTTCTTCGAGTGGCCAATTTATTCGGTTATTTGTTTACATGAAGTAGAATCACTAAGTAATTTAAGTCAAAACTGTTTAAAACCCTCCGTAGAGTGCAATTTAAGGCTATGTATAAGTTTTTAGTTAGTTCATTTGTTAAGTGAATCCAGTTGTGATTGGATAATTTCCAGCTAGGTTTGTTTAGAAAATATAAGAGAAAAAAGTTTACATATTAAAAACTTATAGTTATTAGCGAGTATACCGCTGTGTAATGCTTCTTTGATATTAAGAAATTACCTTGTCATAAAAGTCATATAATTCTGCATGTGAAAATTCTACATGAACTTTTTCCTTAGTCTGCATCAGAAGCACCCAGTAGAAAAGCGGAACATGGTATTAACGATACGAAAGATCCATTAATATAGATAAACATAGTACTGTGTTGGCAAGTCAGCTGCTTAAAAATCTTAGCCTAATCTTATAAACGGCATAATAAGGCACGAACGTTTTTGTCTTCTGATCGAATCCCTAACTCCAAGATAGCGTTTGGAGCTTTCATCTTTGTTTTTTCACTTTGTGCCAGCTGTAAATTGAGCTGCCAATTAATATCTTCTAACTGTAATTAAGACCACAGTAGCCATGAAGTCAGTAACGATAAAAGTATCAGTGTAATTGATGCTATCCAATGTAGGAAGTACACTATACATTAAGATATTACCTGATTATTTATAAAATTTCTTTGTCTAACTCTGTCGATAACATTTTTCGCATTTGTAGACCAGGCTTCGATAAAAGCGTCAACCTATATACGAGTATAGTTATCATTTGTGAGAAATTTAAAGCATAGGTAAAGAATCTTAATATCAACTCATCTTAAAATAGTTAAAACAGATCAAATTGATAGTCATATGCTTGACCAAAACTATTCGCCAAGAATTATTATAGATATGACATCAATAATACACGTAAGAGTATGCACGCAGCGTTTATACCTTCACTTCATCTAGGTCAATATTCAATAGTTGTTGCTTTAAGACTGCAGGTTTAGCAACATGGTAAACTGCCTAATGGACGAAAATAAAAGTTGTACACATTAGAACAATGCTTGTTATTTCTCTATTTTAATTAACAGATACTGTAAATGTATCAAACTGAACGATATCTGACTTGCTCAAATATGAAGGATAGAATATCCAGTATGAGCTGAAGATCTTTCTTTTCTTCTATGCCAAGAGAAGTTTGCAGCTTATTCTCTTCCTCTTCTGTGAAAATTCTTCCCTCCTAGTAACCAAAAGTTCTTCTTATTAGTACGTTTTATATGATCTGTCCATACCACACGTAGTAGGCAGTTAATCTAGCGATAATCATTTGCATCTCTTGACGGTAAGACGCGTAGCCTGATCATACTGTAACATCAGTAATAACAACGAACATGCCGCGGTAACAGTGTCTGTATTAAAACTTTGCTAATCAAGAAAATAAATATACGAGTGCAGGATACCGATTCAATCGTGTCAATAAAAGGAATCAATACAGTATCAACATTCCATAGGAAAAGCTGTACAAAACGTAACAGGCCCTAGAAGTAAATCACTGTTTTGCATTTCTTTCTTTTACCTAAATTGAAGGAATATTGCTAACTACAGTAGTAGCTGGATACACTTCATCAACTGTATTAAGAATTTCATGCGTTCCAAGAGCAGAGTAAACATCGTTACATCATAATCAGTATTGAACAATCTCGATTATCAGTGTAAAACCTACCTTTACGTGGAGTTTTTGTAAAATGCGAACTAGCAAGAGCGGAAATCGTTCAGTATCCAATTGATTTATTAATGACACAGCTCCTTTAATGCTATAATACGAAGATAGTTTAACCATTCCATTAATCATTTAAATTTTCTTGTAGTCGTATACTGTACGCTTTTACAAAATGAAAGTATATACGCTAAAATTGTATTTTGCACAAGGAAATGCATCAATCTGAGCGGAAAATAAGATAAACAACATCGATCTTACTTTGCAGTAGCCTGAAACATGGCACTCGCAGCCATTTTTTTAATTTTAAGTATAAAAGAAGTTGAATCAAATCTCGGCAATCTACAAGTTGTGGTTCGGCTTCACTTGCAAAGTTGCAATGCTCTGATAAATGACGTGAAGTTAAAGTAATATCAAATTTGAGCCAAGGTACTGTCCTGGACTACTTTAGCAATACTGTACAGTACTTGTGTTACTGGTACTGTACTGTATCATATCAGAGTCCGTGTGGGGACAACGAGTCCCGGACAGACCGGACTGCGAGTCTACGACCACAGTCGTCTACTCAGTCACTACTGACGAAAGTGTTCATGTGCTCTCACTGGCTCACAGCGATCATGATCATTACCATAATCTACTAAGTATTCACTACTACCATGGACCATTAAAGGAGGTTCTAGATCTTCCGGAGATCTAGAAGTCCGTGGCTATATGGACACTTGGACAGGAAACTCTACTCGGACGGTCGGATATTTTGTCATTCTGTATACTGTTCCAAACATTTCTATTCGTTGTAATATCCTTAAGCGGTTGCTCGATTCTGTTATTCGCTTATTTTTCTAAATCAAGTAATATTCTATTGAAATCTCTTCTATTTTACTAAGTTCTGCTTCAAAACAGTTATATAAAGTCAAGAATATTCTTCAATTGCTACAAGTAAGAAAAATAGATACAGAAGATCTGTAAGTACAGCACTTACTGTAGTACTTACTGTAGTACTTGGATATTTTGGATACATTTGGTTTCAAGAATTCTGTCTGTCTATCCGAGAGTTTCCGGTGCATTGACTGTACTGTACAGTGTACAGCACACTGTAATTTCGGAGTGAGACATACTGTACAGTACTGTACTGTACAGTACAGTACAGTACTGTACTGTACCGTACAGTACTGTACTGTACCGTACAGTACTGTAGCATTTGTATACTGTAGACTTTTAAAATACTGTACTGTACTGTATGTGCATTATTGTGAAGTCAACGACTATTCAACTAGGAGTTCCCCCTCAAAAGCGGTCAACCAGACGTCAGCAGTCTAATCCTCTAAGCTCATTGCAGACCTCTGCCGTCAACTAAAAATTTGGGAAATTTTGGAAATTTTTTAGTTACTGCTTTTGAGGGGAAATCTTTTAAATGAGTAGTCCCTAGACTCTTTGGTACGGTTCAGTGTACTGTACTGTACAGTACTGTAAGAACAGTTTGTACGTGGTACAGTGTCCAGTACTGTACTGTACTGTACGGAAAGACTACAGTACAGTATATACTGTAGAGGTCTTTATGGTCTGGTTTGGCCCTGACCCACTTTGCAGAATAAATTTATAAAATAAAATAAAATAAATAAAAGAAAAGAAAATGAGAAAAAAGGAAATAATACACGAGCGAGGGATAGTACAGTTGTAGAATAAGTTATTATACTGAACTACTGTAATTGAACTACATCGATCATTTCGGATGTACTAACTATGCTGTTACTCAGCGTCTGCTTGGCAGTAAGTTGAGGAAGAAATGCGCTGTTGAATTCTGTTGTGCATGCGTTTGAAAGTACTGTACAGTAAAATAAAATAAATCGCAGTATAGATTAACTTCAGAAAGAATTCAGTTTAGTGGCGTTACTGTAGAGAAAAATTGATCTTTTACAGCACGTGTGCATTCAAAGATTATTGCAACACTGTCAAATTTCATCAAGCGGCCAATCTATCTCAAGTAGTTGAGCAGTGTTTACATTGCAACTACTCCGGTACGGTACAGCACTGGGTACTGCATAGTAGATCATTGACGTCGTGATTAGGCTAGGAAAAAAGGGGGGAAAAATCTTTCATAATTTTACAACACGTGTACGTCGCTTGCGGTACAGTACAGTACTGTACCGTACGATGCACTGTACTGTACGTACACAACAGCTCCATTTTCCGCTTGGTTACAGTACAGTATTTCGCTACGCTATACTACTGTATCGTACAGTACAATGCGTGGAAAGCGTCGCGGTACAGTACAGTACAGTATGACTGTACTGTACAGTGTACAGTACTTTAGTACTGTAGCTGTGCACATGCTGGATTTGTGTACAGTACAGTACAGCGCTTGCGTACAGAACAGCTCAATTTTCCGCATGATTGTACTGTACTGTACTGTATTGTACTGTACTGTACAGTGTACAGTATTTTAGTACTGTAGTCGTCAGTATGCTGGATTTTTACAGTACTGTACTGTACAGTACTGTACTGTACACAACGGCTCAATTTTCCGCATGGTTATTTCTCTTTCCGTACAGTACAGTACTGTACTATACAATAGTACTGTAGCCGTGAACATGCTGGATTTGTACTGTACTGTACACAATCATGTACTGTACTGTATGTACTGTACAGTACGGCTGTCCCGTCTACAGTACTTAGTACTGTAACTGGGCACATGCTGGATTTGTCCTGTTCCTTACTGTATTGTACAGTACAGTGTCAACTTTTTGAAAGTTTTTGAAAGCACAACGTGCCGTACCGTAGCGTCACGTCACTGTTGCAGTTGAAAGCATGTAAGCGCCGAAACAGACAATTCCTTGTGCACCCCTTCTACACTGTATTGTATACCAGTCATACCGCATTGTGCAAAATCCACAATCGTACGGCGGTTGATTTCATACCATAGTGTATGATACAGGTGCGCGAAATTGAAGACGAGGCCTTTACCCATAAGTCAACGGGAGCTTTCCCGCAACGGTTGTCATTTGCCAATTTGCAGCTTATACTGAGCTGCCATCTTTGATGTTAGTAGTCAGTACAGTAAAATTAATTGTAATTGTGTAAAAAATTGCATATACTGTATACTTTAGGTAAACTGACTTTTACGGATTGTTTAAAGATTTAATTTTGCTTACAAGAATTCCATAATGAGTCGAGATAATGATACTGGGTAAGTACTACATGTTTTTCATTTTTATCAAAGTTCAATTTACTACATGTTTAATGTGTAGAATGCATCCACTATCCTACTTGAAGGCGTTTGCACGTGGGGCCTTTTATGTCATGATTTTTACTACGGTTGATGATCGTTCCATCCCGACGATTACTCACTCACTCGTGCATGTGGCTCCATCAGAAATGATCCATAATTAGCGATAATAGCTCTTACTTTACCAATTTTTTTGAATATAAACTCGTTTCTGCATTACAACTTGATTTTCTCCACTCGATAGAGAATAGCAATCATCCTTTTTAGCCGTAATTGTTCCCTGACGCGTCGTGTACTTGACTATACATTGTGTACGGTAGTATGTAATGGTATGACATGTATCTGTAGCCATGGATCAAGCCAACATGATACCTTTCGACGTGGCTAACTGCAATGCTTTAGTGTCTCTAGTAACGGCTAAAATTGGATTTTAAAAAATTGTACAGGTCTTCTACCCTATCTTAACATGTCCAATTTGACCTAGTTGAAGACTGGAATGACTAGTAGCGATAGGATCGAATGGATTCTACTGTCATAGCATGCGCATCCATACTCACCCTGGCCAAAGATATTGTTGCTCGCGTGTAGTGTATCAAACGCTGATGTGTGAACCGCCTAAAAGACGGCAATGGTCAAAACTAAAAGGAACTCGTGCAGACTCATACGACGCAATCTTTCCAACCCTTTTTCCTTACATAGAACGTATACTCTACAGATGGCCATTTAGCTTTTCAAAACTCCAATTTGTAGCGATAAACTTATTATTTCGGATATAATTGAATTTAGTTGGTGCGTAAAATGCCCGCTCTCTTTCATTACAATGTCATCGCGTTACTGTATCGACGTTTAGCGCCGCTTTGTCGGCGATGTCTTAGTATTGTAGTTTCCATGACGTTACTTTCTGGAACAGCTAGAATTGGAAAATGGGTGATATTTTTTACCTTCAATGGATGCATGGTGCCTATACTATGTACAGAACCGATCACCTTGTTAAGAACTTCGTTTTAACACACAAATATGTACTCCTTTTCATAGAATTGCCTTACTAAATTCTCTTGACCAAATGCACTACCATCTCCTTACTAGTGATTGATTTGTCCGACAAACATAGAAACACCGTTGCAAAGTAGTACAATATTCCATGATTCCCTTTTATGGATCCTTTTTTTTACTCTCCTCTGCTCCAAATATGTCTGATATAGTATACGTCTTTTACGCCCGTGAAAAAGAACTGACGTAAAATAGTATTCGAATTGCTTGCTACCTTGCATTGTGAATAAATGCAACTCTTAAACCGTTATTCTTTGCTGTTCAAATTATATCTATAGAAAAATTTTCGTCGGAGGTTTACACCCGGACACAGATTCAGGTAAGATGCAATGCCTTCTCACTTACTCTACTTTGATGACAATGACCGTATTAGATTGAGTATAGTAGTAATGTTGTATTTGCTATGTAATTAATAGGAATTGATTTGTCCGCCTGCTAATCACGATGCGGCGGTCTTCATTACAAATATGTGAAAGTAGTATTGTCACCATTCCGTTGATGATAGTGGTAGTTTTATGGTAGTAGTCTACCTTAGCTCAAAATTGCTGCAAAGGCGTACACCTGGAATATGCAATGCTCCGTTAATAACGGAACAGTAGGATAGGACAAGTACTAGTGATATCGAATGTGATTTATCATTTTCTAGTTGGTAGTTGACACCGTATTGAGTTGCAATTGTAGTCGTATAATATGTTTCTCAACAACACTAGACAACTATTGCAATTTCGACTTTGGTGTTGCTTACGTTTGGTGTGTTATATATAAAATGATAATATCATGTCTGCATTTCAACATTGTAGATAGCATGAAAAAATTCTTTAATAAATACGGAAATGTTTCGGATTGTGTTATCAAGAAGGATCCCGTAACACAACGTTCCAGGTAGGATTTGTCATTATTGAATCAATTAATAACGTAACTTGTAGTCATTAATCTTACTATTTCCCATATTTGTAAAGAAGTCCTATTTATAATAGTTTAATTTGGTAATGTAGTTTTTAAAGTGTCAAATATAGTGTTACTTTTAGAAGCATGAAAAAAATGCGATATTGTAATGTACAGTACAGAAGGATTTAATCGGGTGAAAGTTAGCTGATATTGGTTTGAAGTTTAGTATAAGATATAATGGTGATCACTAGTCAGTTCTATTACCGGATTGCGTTATAACTGCAAGTCTTGTAGTTGTCTATGATAGTTGAACACCTATTCAATTATCCTACACCACTCTTGTAATATTTCCATTTTTTTATTAATTTCGTGCTGCATGCTTATACATCTCTAAAATATATACTTGCTAGTCTCGATAGAAAGAACTGCGCCGACCGTAGTAGTAACTGGACAACTGATTTGTCTCAGTAAAATTCTTAACTTTGGATATATTATTCCTTTGATTGTATCTCAGTATTAGCTATCGCGTAGCTTTTTATCCGACCTTGTTGAGTTGATTACAACGCTAATGCAGGATCAAAACTATTCACATATAGATTTTGCTTTGTGTATGTTTACTGTATATCTACACTTGCACGGTTCTGCTTGATCGCTTTACGATAAATTAATACTGTATAGGGTTTGTAAGATATTTAAATCTTAAACATATAAAGCTAAGCGATTACCTGAGTATACTGGCTGGCTGGCTGGCTTAATCTATCGTTATTACAACCATTCCTATTCGTAGCTTGTGAACCAGGTTACACAAGAAGACTAACTACTTATGCTTACTTATCTCTATTCCATAAAGGGGCTTTGGTTTTGTAACTTTCGAAGATCCTGGTTGTGTTAATTCTGTATTAAATGCTGGTCCACATTTATTAGATGGCAAACAAGTATGGATTGAATTCTTTAGTACTACTTTGTCCTATTGGATCAAAAACCTAAGCTTTTTATACTTTTATTATTCAGATTGACCCTAAACCGGCTGTTCAAAAGGGACAACCTGCACCCCAGGTACAATATCTGTTGTTATTAAGATCTATAAGGAGTTGTTAAAGAATTTGTTACCGTAGCTAAAGTAACTGACTGACTGCATACTATTAACCCTTAGGCCAGCCCTAGTAATGTTAATACGAACAAAGTGTTTATCGGTGGCGTAGCCCAGAATACAAGCGAAGATGAGATCAAAAAGTACTTCTCTAGTTTCGGACAGGTTAGTAATTTTTCAATGTAAAATAGATTCATTAATGTAGCATTGTATGAACCTTTCTTAACTTGCGATATTATCTTTCAATTAAAATAGAATATTATTCATTTGCATGCATATTCAATTACTCTTTCAGGTTAAAAATGTCCAACTTATGTACGACAAAACAACGAAGCGAATGCGAGGTATTTTTAAGTAATTTAAACTGTTTCATTAGTTTCTTTTGATTCATTAGCATCATCTTCTATTTAAAGGATTCGGATTTGTAACTTTTGAAAATGATGAGACCGTAAAAAAGACTTGTGGCGTACATTTCCATAATATTAATGGCAAATCGGTCGGTTATCTAAATTGTAGCTAGTTGATAATTAATTCAACATTTTAAATTATGAATTGCATCGTTATGTCGATTTTTGTAATTATATCCTTTGTAATGAATTTGCAGGTCGAAGTTAAACTAGCCGAAGATCGTAGTGCAAATCGAGGTGTTCCAGGTAGCCAATCTAATGTGTATGGAGGTGGAAACTTTCCTAATATGCAATTTACTTCTCAATATGGTAAATAATGAATCCATGATAGAGCTGTAATGTAAAGAATTGATGTCATCTCCCTGAGCGTTACTTGTCAGCTATACAATGTTGTTGAGTGTCAAACGGGGTGTATAACAATCAGCTCTTAAGTTGTCTGCACGGCTAGCATGATTAAATTTTGCTTAGCTGTTACGGAGTACCTAAGGGACAGTGTTTACTGTTTAGTCATTAGTACTTATAATTCGTGATTCACTACACGTGAGTAACGAATTTATTTTTTACGTGAAGGCCCTTATGGTAATAGTGGTGGTATGCTAGGTTCCTATGGATATGGTTCGTACGGTTATGGTGGAAATTATGCTGTACCTGGCTATCCATTTGCTTACGGTGAGTCTATTTTAACAGTAACTATTACAAATTGTAAAGATAATAGCGTTTCTTATTTTCCCGAAAATATCGCTATCACTTTTATACAAAGGTATACAAGGTGTAGTGATTATGGTGTACACTGTTCATAGAAATGAATCTTGAATTTGTGCTTTATCGAGCTTACTATTTACTTAGTATTTAACAGAGTATGAGATAATCACAATTTAATTATCGGTTAAAATACAACCCCTGTAACTATCATACATAAACTCATATTCTTATTACAGTCACTAATTAATGCGAGTGTCGTTGATATCGCTTTATTAGCCGTCACCCTGATATGAGCGATAACATTGATTTCGTCAGAATCATGTATAAATATATTCTGCTAATATCTCAGTTATTAAAATAAGTATCTTATGATTTATTTATTTGATGTTTAAGACCAAACGATGGGCACTAATTACGGACAAGAAGCTACTAACTATGGCCCTGGAAAGTCAAGTTACAGTAATATGTCGTCTGGTGTATCCCAAAGCGGCACATCTTCATATACGAGTGCGCCTTCTACAGGCTATAGTGGAATGAATTCTGCTGGACCCAGCGACAGTTTTAGAAGTGTACCTAACTATAACAACATGCAAAGTTATATGTAAAGGATCAGAATAATTCTGTCTTAAAAAGGGAAAGCTATTCAAGTTACTGTTACTTAAGGAAAGAATTGCGAGCGGAGAAAAACAAAAATTTCCCCTTAATTTTATGCTTAATTGTGTTTCGTTTTCCGCGTATTGTTTTGTATGTCTTGTTTTGACACATGAAACATTCGGCATTTATTAGATTTACAGTAGATAATAGTACGCCAATAAGCTTTGATGTATGCTATTTGCTTTTAATGTATGGTGTAGATGAGTTAATCCTCTTATAATTAATTACCTTACAGTATGGTAGCTATATGTTCTTATTTAGTTATACCAGTAATTACTACATTACTTAATCTATATTTCCGTAATTGACTATTTGCAACTATTACGAATGAGTTTCTTGTTCTTTCATACGGTATTTCAAGTATGGCTTGTGGCCGGTTGTCAAAAAAAAGGAATATTCCCATCGAGTAATAATATAGCTATACTGATTAATAAGATTACATTGTGTTCTTGATATTAAACAGGCACTTTATACAGTAGAGTAGCACCAGCCATACTTAATTATTAAGTACAAATAATTTTAATTTTAGCCGTAACATTAATGATAATTAGCAATTATTTACCTTTCTGTGTAGAGACTGAGATTGAGAAGAACAGCAGTAGTTAAAAATCTCGTCTCAGTTACTCTTGTTTTTGCGTTTCACAGCTGACATATTAAATGTTCATGACGTCATGAATAAAAAAAATGAAAAACGTATAGTTGTGAGAAAAGTATGTGCCTTCGAATGAGATTGTTTATCATCGTCATTGCAACATCCTGCATGTTATGGCCATTTTGTGGCTTCAAAGTAAGTTGGTTAGATGACAACAAGAGAATCTGAATTTTATACTGTTGTTTTAGAATGAGCAGCTCAACGTTGAATTATTACGATTCGATGTTAGATGAAACTAATAGTAAATAATTAATAGTTTGGTTTGTCCAATTACAGGATAGGATATCTATAATTATTTTGCAAGGTGGTGATGTAGCATACTGTCCTAAAGGTGTAAATTGTTTCGGTATTGATACTTGTCAGAAGTATAGTAGTACGTCGATGGATGTAATAGAGAAGTATCCAATTAGGCGCTGACTGAGTGAACAAGTGAGTTCTACACTATATAGCGTTACGTAGAAAACAAAAGATGGATGTTTTTACTTTTTACGCGCGAAATGCGAATGAAACCATTTGGACTATCGCTACGGCAATGCCTAAGGGCTTGTACTAACGGTTTACTGTTTGTTCTATGATTCGCTTAGCCCAAGGGATTTTTTTTCTCTCTGTCCATCTATCGCACATACTCAGTACGCCATGATTCCTAGACTAGTCGAGGAATGGAGATGTCATTCCTTAATAACGGTACTGCATTCACAGGCACACTCATCAATGTGATCCCTGGCCACAGTGTAGTGCCAAATATATCAAAAGCATTTACGATATTTTAGACTTTGCAAGAGTGCTTTCCGCTAATGGTTTCAAGTTTCTAGAAAGTCTAGGACTAGTAATGATGCATGTGGACTAATACGGTGCTGTACATTATCTGTATGTACACTGTACATAGGACGGTACATTGTACAGTATTGTGCCTAAAAGTGTATTTGCATAGCCAATAATGGCCGAATTGTATAATATTTCTCAGTAACGCGGAAAGCCTTTGTATCCCGTCCCCCTTAATTAACTTAAAAACTGTAAAGTCGGATAGTTGATTTTCGAACTTTGTACTATAGATTAACATGGGTGCATGAATATTAAGCTGTAGTACTGTCGTATTTGGATTAGCTGTTAATTAAGTAATGAGGTGTAATGGCGGGATAGGACTGGTAAAAAAGTTGGAAAATTTTGATTGTACTGATGTCCACAGTCTGTACTAGTGAAAAGGATTTGGATCAAATTGACACCTGCCCTGCCCGATTAGGGTTCGATGGCATAGCGTATATCTACAATATCGACATTTGTCCTTGCGCTATCACATCATTATGGTACTACCGTAGTCTATAGTTTTTTCTATTCTTTTATTACAAGTTCATTTATTTATTTAAAGGTCCTTTCGTCCATTCCTGGACAAATGGATATATGTTATACAATACTACAGCATGGACTTCTAGATCTCCTAGAAGTCCCATGACCAGAGTCCCAGTGGTAGAGTAATTGAATGAGGAGGATACTCCGGTAGCAGCTTGGGTTAGTTGATTCCGTACACTCTGTCCTTCAGTACCATAGCGTGATTGAAGAGCCGGCGATTTTTCAATCGACTTTGGTTTCTAATTCATTGGGACAATCTCCACTTGAATATCATGATAGCAGCCCATTTCCTCCATTAGCCTCTTGAATGTCAACGAAGAATATCCATTCAATTCGTACCTACTGCCAACGATAAGGTTAATACGAGCTGTTGTTAATTTCTGATTTGGAATCAATGATGATGGCCTACTGTAATCGTTCCATCTTTATCCAGGAATCGCGGTGTACTGTACTGTAGTTCTCTAGAGTTACAGGCACCGATCATCATTACTGGCGTTCTTCAAGCTAGTAGTAACGCAGAACTAGTTGAAGGTTATTTTCATGATCCTGTCTACTCTATCTTTAAGCATAATGTAGTAATTAAAAGAATGAATAGCGTACGTATGGATGAACAATGGAAAGTGATCATTTAATGAACTCTTAATTTTATCAAGTCAACATTTGTAGACGGCAGCATAGCTTACTACCGTAGTAAGAAGAAGAAGAGGAACGATTTCAGTAAACTGCTTAAAATGCCTTGAATGATATCGTCTGATAGAACTCAGTCCGAAGAATAGGCAGTTCCCTCAGACAATCTGAATCGTAATACAGTAGTTCAATATTGTACTGCATCTTCAACGCTTGTTTATGCAGTATAGACATTACAGTAAACTTGAACAAATGGAATCAGAATCAGCCTGTTTGAAGGGCTTGTATAAATTAGTAAGCTAGTAACTGATTAAATGTTGCCCATTCGAATTACTTATACTGTGCATATTGAGAGTTAATTAATGATAGTCATTTCAACATGACTGTATCAACTTCTCTTACAAGTTCCTTGTTAGATCGGCAGACGGCCGGTGCCAGTACTTTATATAATAATATCATCCATATTACAAGGGTCAAAGATGACCTTATAACATCGCAAGCTACCCGCAACATCTCCTTTTTCTCTTATATTGTACACCGTACAGCAGCATTCTGTAATGTGTAGAGCTATATCATGAAAGAGATTAATCAGAAAATAATGGTACTCGTATATACATATCAACGCTTACTTTTGTAGCAATCAACCCAGGGTTGTTAATACTGCACTTAGTAGTACATATGCAACACATCATGATTACGTAAACTGTACTAGCAAAGATATTTTAAAAGAAGTAATTGAATCAAGAAGGCTACGCACTTCTGATGTTGATGTATGGTTGAGGAATTTATTTATAGTGTGCTAGTTTCCGATAATGAAGGCATGATACTGCTGTACTACCCGGCAGCATCTTGATTAATATTGACCTTGATTCTTGATTGCATATTGGCATAGATATGTCATGTTAACTTTGCTTCTATGTCTAACTTGCAGAATATTAAGTAAATCAAGGTCGGGCTAAATTGAAGGTAAAAATGATTGAAATAGATATACGTAATGCTCGTGAAGTCCATACTGGATTCTCTGCTTATACCGTGAGTTTATTACACCGTTTATATGTTGTAGCAAAATAGTTTTCAAACTGTAATCCTTTCTTCTTCCTTCATACTAGGCATATGCAATTGAAATTGTGGAAGGCACAGCACTACAAATTATTGAAAAACGTTATAGTGAATTCCTAGATCTTCATAAATCGGTAAGCTCATTAAGTATAGTAAGATTTAGTAAATAGTGTTGGTCTCATTAAAGCTCTCCATCGAATAGCTTAAAGATCAGTTTCATAAATATCTACGCGATAGCCAAATTATCAGAATTAGCAGGTTATACAACAGAGGTGATAATAATAATAATTGTGGATTGTTTCAATAAATTGGCATATTTGGTAATAATCGAAACAACACAAACTACGGAACCTGACAGTTAAAAGATGTCTGTCGAAATTTACCAAAGTTTCCTAAAAGAACATTAATGAAAAATAACCCTAAAGTCGTTGAAACTCGTCGAAAATTATTAGAAATTTATTTACAGGTAATGACTTACGTGATTAATATTCTCAATTATCAATTGTTAATGATATTATTGCTCCTCGTTTTCATTGTTTACTATATAGATTGTATAGTTTTCATTTTCAGTAATAATTTTTGCTATTTGCAATTTTACATATTAGGATATAGTAAGCCGTGGCGATAGAAAAATCAATGCCGTATTACATGAATTCTTAGGGATAGGCAGCAAAAGCCGTTCTAATAGTGATAATAATTACATCCTCAGTGGAATGTAAGATTTCCATTGAAATTCTCTCTTTTCGTAGATGAATTTAGCGTCCTCTACTATGTTTATTATTCAATACCTCCGTGCTGTATGTTACTACTAGTGTAGATATGATGCAAAATTATACCGCGCAACTGTAAATGCATCTAAACTTAAAAACATATTTCCGTTATTAAGTATGTAGCTACACCGTAATAGAGGTTCTTAATTAGGAACAGGGTATTTCATTTAGAAAAGCTGATGAAAAAATTTTGGTTGGTTGATTTATTATAGAATAAATAATACTCAACCTATAATGCGGTTTTCAAGCGATGCACGAGAAAGTTTTGGACCTACAAATAAAGGTGATGATAAATAAAGTTTCAATTTATCTTGATAATCTAATAGCTTCTAAGGCGATATCTGATAAATAATGTCAACTCGACAATGTACGTACATTTCTGCAGCTCTAAGGAGTTCGTGGATACAAATAGCTCTACAAGCTGACCTAGTAAAATTATTGTATTTTGCCCTTCTACTCTAATATGATAATAACAATAATATGAAATAGGCTTACTGTACTCGTACTGCACATGAGTTTAGATTCTAGATCACAGTCAATTTTGCACTATAATCTCCGCTAAACTTTCTATGAACAATTAGAAATTATTATATTTATCGTACAACCTAATACTTACAATAGTTTGATGATAATATTTTGTTGTGTGCACAATATTATTATATACTTAAATTTAATATATAAAAACTACTGAATTAAACTGATGTTGTTGAATATCCATTTTCAGATCAAGGGGATATTGTGATTGGCGGTGTACTTGGCGCTATTTATTCAGATCACAATTAATGGATCTGAATGAGACTTTGAACCTTTTGAAAATCTCTGTAATACTGCAGTAGCAAATTATGTCTGTAATCTACGTATCTAAAAAAGGTTGTAGCATTTGGTGCGACAAATATCTCATTATTCAATGAATACGTTACTAATATCCTGCTGATTATTACAGCTTTCACTATGTAAGAAATAAGTGTACTGCTCGTGGATTATAGATTAACCATCTGATACCGACAACCTACTGGGATTGTTGTTGACATTCTTTATTTAATTAATGTAGTTGATAAGTATAGTAGACAAGCAGTCACTTTTTCAAAAATATGTAATAAGATAAGATCTAAAGGAATTAATTATGCTATCTAAATTTTGTGTCATGCCCTAGCGTTGCAGTAGATACAATCAACGATTGAGACAAAAATTAAGAGTTATGTACAGAATTATTATATCATGTTATATCATAGCAAATACCATTAGAGATGCCTTATAAAGTTAAAAAATTGCTATTTACTATATATGGCTTTAGTGCTATAAGAGACCAATTCAGACATAACATGTCTTATGAATTGAATTAGTCAAGTCACTGTGATTTTTAAAGGTAATAAAAATTAGCATCATATTCATAGATCGGCTGTAAGGTTTGTTAAATAGGTTATACTCTACACCACATGTATATTGCTGTTAGTATAAGGGCACAGCAAATATTATAAACCGTGTAATATCCTAAATCATTCCATATTGAAACTGCATCAATAGAAAAATTTCTAGATCAGAACAATCTCGACAAACTCTTTCTTATACAATTAAATTTAATTATTAGTCTTTTTCGCCTTCTGTGAAAAATACTTGAATACCGCATTGAAAGCTCCAAAGGAAGTTTCTTCATGCTTCGTCACCCCTACATAGCAATCATGCAATTTTAAATGGGTGATACATAGAGCATTCCACGGAAAAATTTACTGCTATAAAGTAGTATAAAGCTCTTTCAGCATAAGGTATCACCTTACCCGCCGATCGACATTGACAATCAATATCGTTTCCCGTAGAAAGGACTGTATCAGTCTTTTGACTGGATGTTACCCAATTTACAGCAACCTATAAATCATATATATCCATTTTCGAATCTTTTACCGATGACACCATGAGCAAATCATACGCGTGTTACTGAAAAATCTCTCGGTCGGATACAAACTATATTGGTAGCGATTTAACTACCTTTCTCCAGAATACCGGGAATCTTCTGGTTTTCATTTCATGAAGACTGTGCACTGAATCCGTTAAAGCGATAGCAGATATTCTTTGCAGGACACACTCATTTGCTCTAGATAACTGTACATTGACTTGAAATTAATAAAAGTTAAAATTTTTTCAAAGTAAGTAAGCCTCTGAAATTTAAACCCAATGACTCCAATACCGTGTTCACAATAGCAGCGCCCCCATAGCTATGCGCTACAATAAAGATTTTTTTAGCCAGCATTTCAGAAATAATTTTATCCCAAACGTAAACAAAATGATTTTCAGGACATTCGCTACCCTGTAATACATTAATCTATCATTAGTTTACCCTTTAATGATACAGCAAATCCTATTTTAATTCAAAATACTAGAAGTTACGTTTATTTACATTTGACAGAGTAGGTAGCATAAGGTATTAGAATTGAAATAGCCGTATGCCTCCATTTATATCAACAGTGACAGAATTAGACAGCAAGTATCAACGGTATCACATTTAGTTATACTACATGTTTAATTTACCCTAATAAATCTCCTCTTTTCGTCATAGTTATAATTGGTATTTAATACGACTACACCATAACCTTCCTAAAAGACCATCATAACAATTTGAACATTAGGATATGACATTAAGTTAAGTAGCCTCTTATCATACCAAACCTAACATAAATTGTATGTATATATTTGCTAAAACATAAACTGCCTCCTTGAAAGTCTTAAAGACTTTGTATTAATAATTTACAAAGATTCCATTTATCACAAACTTATTATTCATGTACAATGTATACTTTATATACTATAAGCAATGTAAATTCTATTTTTATGTCTAGCCGGATACTTTTGAGGTAAAATCGCAGAGATAAATTCGTTATAAACCTCTTATTTAGTAATAAGCATATAGGTCAACTAATACCATAAAACCATACCAGCGTTACGCTTAAATGTCGATATTACAGCAGTAAACGTATAGAATAGTGATATCACCATAGTGCATACAAAGTATCTTTCAATCGATATTTGATACGTTCTTACATGTTGAAGGGAGTTATTGCTACAAATTAGACTATGGTTTGATTACTTACAGTCTTACACTCGTATATGAGATTATAATATAGTAACTTTATGATATTTGTTAAAAATGGATAAGTCAAAACTTGTTTTATAGCTATTGCAAACCTGCTGCGCTCTTTTTATATATGGAATTTGAGTGCCACTCTCGAGACTATCATTGATGATTAGGCTAATCAACCAAGAATAAAATCATTTTGAGTATTATACAGTAGGTTGATTTGAATATTGACATCGGTATCAGCTTTACTATATTGTACAAGAATGATACTAATATCATATACCGTCTTGCCCATTGACCAGCTCGAACTACGCCAGAGCCATGAATCAGAATCATTAATTTCTCTCGATTAGTCTTAGCATCGTCGCTAACGAAAATGAAGTTCGTGGGTTCGTCTTTCTTGTGATCAACCTAAAAATAGAGTTAACTAAGTTTGCATTGCACTCGTAGGCGTCGAGTTCCCCCAACGTTATATATCAGTGACTAACAAAATCTAATATACAAACCGGTAAGGTAATCTTTTCCAGATGGCAATCTTTAACAAGAAGTTCGTAAACATACTTTTCAATTACCTTAAAAAATTGGTAGAATTGAAACGTTTGTAAACTTGCATGGGTAATTTATACGAAGAATTTGTGTAATAGAGTATACAACGAACTTCTCCGAGAGCTTCATAGCGTTTCTGATTATAGCTTCCACTGCTTGAGACATCAAATACAAATGGGCTATTCGAGTTTATATTTCTCAATTCACCATCTGCTTTTGAAAATATGAGAAAAAATTTGATATCTTTCCCGATTCTACTTTCAAAACGTTACGTTGAATACTTTAAATTAATTGACGTACTACTAGTATATAAGTGACTTCAATACTTATAATTATTACAGAAATCTTTTTCAATTTTCGTAACGCTATGATACACATGATCAGTTATTTATTGGCACTATCAAATAACAATAGCTGCATAACCTTCATCAAATTTATATCCAAATCCCTCCAGTGTTGATGGAAAGTTTTGTTCATATTGATCTTGAAAGTGCAGTATCATAGAAGAATATCATGTATAAGATTTAAGGGTAGCATGATGATTTAATAAAGTTGCAGATATGTGATTATTTTCGTATATGATATCAATACCATCGCAATTACGTCTAGTACCACTTTGGAAGTCTTGAGATGATTGTCGACTTGGTACTATCGAATAATAGCAAAACGAATTAAATGGTAATTCCATGATTGTAGATAAAGAGATGTCAAGAATATTCTTAGTAATCATTGCATTGATATCTTATTATTGTAATGCTAGTTTGTTGAGCGAGTAGATTGAGTAAAGTGATGTATAATTTAATGGCCTCTGCAAATATGATATAAGTAATAAGGATTATGTGTGAGTTATTGATCATCCGCAGTGTGATAATAACATTAACAAACTGTCGTAAAAGCAATCCTTTACAATTATAATCATACGCAGTCTTAATATTTAAGATGAAAATTTCTCTGACTGTAAAGAAAGAACTCTTCTCACCTTTTTTAGCGGTTGCACTATCTTGGCTGGTATTATCTTCATTTAAGTCCATAGTTTGTGTCTCTACATGTAAGGTGACGTGAATTCCTTGTTAGATTTTAATGAGATAAGGTAATACTAATTCTTCTACTTATGAGCTGAAAATTTCTTTTACCATGCTTAGTAATTCCAATATCTTGAGAGGTAATTTCATTATCCGAGTCCATAGCTAATGTCTGTGTATCTAAAGCAGCACGGATTTATTAGATTTAAACAAATTTAAATGCATATTTTTATTACTCTCAATGTAGATAAAAAAGTGTCATGAATATTCTCATTGATCACTGTATCGATATCTTGTAATGCTAGTTTATTTAGCAAACAGAATAAGTAAAGTGCTATATAACTATATCGCCCCTGTAAATGTGGTATAAGTAAAAGTGATTATCTGCGAGTTGTTGTGTATTAGCCGTGTGACAATGATATTAACCAGCTATCGATAGAGCAATCTTTTATAAATATAGTCATACGTAATCCTGATATTTAAGATAAAAACTAAAAATTTCTCTGACAGCGAAAAAGAGCTTCTCTCACCTTCTTCAGCGGCATCTTGGCAGGTATTATCTTCCTTTGTGTCCATAGTTTGTGTCTCTACATGTAATGTGATGTGAGTTTCTTGTTAGATTTTAATCGGACATGGGAATATCAATTCTCTACTTATAAGTGGAAACTTTTTGTTACCTTGCTTAGTAATTTCAGCATCTTGAGAGGCAGTTTCATCATTTGAGTCCATAGTTAGTGTCTGTGTATCTACAGTAGCACGGATTTATTGGATTTTAAACAAACTTAAACGTATATTTTGTTTTAACTCTCAACATATACACATGCTACACCAAGGTTAATTACATTGGAAATTTTAATTTTCTGGTTTTCAACAAATTGCAACAATTTTAGCTATTTGATACTTTTGTAATGTACGTTTTAGGTTACTTTAGCATGTTGACAAAGCTAATTTACCAGTATCAGTTACGAAATGCAATCTCATCATTTCATAGTAACCAGCTATATCCTATGACATGTAAATGATTGATCTATTTGCTAGATTTACACTATTCTACGCATTCCAGTACATAAAATGTAAATGCTGTATGAAAAGCTATTAATATTTTGGCTGGCTACCATATTTTCGGCTTTGTAGTCAAGCTGTTAGACAAGCTATTGTTGTCAACATGTTATGTAGAGGTGAATTAGATATAACTTAAAATAATACCAAAATCTAGGGTTGTTAACAATAATAGATATATATATAAGTAATGTTTGTGATAATTCAAGTATGTTGATTTCAGCTTCATAGAATATGATACTAATCATATCATTTTATTCTCATACTAAGTTCTGTAAGCGTTGAATTATGTTTTTCGCAATTATCATGTTGTAAACAAGTTAGGTAACATATTTAAGCAGCTACACTTTTCTGTCATTGTTGTTCTTAGTCCTTCTTTTCTAAGATCTGCTGTTGTAGGAAGTTTTCCTTGTCTGTTGGAGGCGGCTTGGAGCTTGTTGTACTATTATCTACGTAGTATCTCAATCGATAGAGAACCAGTAATAAAATCTGCTATTCTAAAATTACTTGCATGAACTACACTTTAATTACAGTAAAAAAGTAGAGCAGGTTTTATTACAGGCTTATAGCATCTTTGCTATAATTGGTTTATGGCTAGACTATATTGCCTTGGATCTGACGAAGATAGCAAGTGTATTATTATTGTACATCCGATAAACAAAGAGTTAAAGCCATTAGGGATTCAGGCAACCTAATGTTATTCTGGCTTCTATTTTTCAAAATCCAGACTGAATCCTCACACACACATCCGGATAATCAAGAGATCGAAAGTGTGGGTTTCATTTATTCTCTCATGTAGCATAAATATGATTTCAAAGCCGTTAGGATTGGATGACCTACTGCATTTTAGCTCCCTTTTTTTCTTTATTTATATTGTATCTTGTTGGTTTCAATTAAGAAACTATGAATTGAAATAGCATGTCTTCTTGCATATACCATAAACCTAGTTTTTCAAAGCCATAAGGTGGATCTACTGTACATTGGTGCCTATTTTTGAACATCTGGATTATCCGATATTGGCATGCCATCAAAGCGAATTTCATACACTATACCCTTGCACGTAACATAACTGTGACTTTCAAAACCACCAGGATAGTGATGATCTGCTGTATTTTGTTTTGCATTTCTATATTAATAGATTGTGCAATATATATACATGCATTGGAAAGACTGTACAAGTAAATATCAATTTCATGTACATTTGTACATAGCATAAATATGGTATGAGAGAGGTTTAATACGGAGTTTAGTCATGCAATCGAGAGTATTTTTAACATGTTAAAGCACAAATAACACTTGTCTATAATCCATAGCTGCAGTAATATCCTTTGGATAAGTGATGATTTGATGTCATTTTATCACGCAGTAATCATGCAGTAATCATGCAGTAATTGAAATTCAGAAGAACCAAGCCATTGCCATAGATTGGTAATATTAAAGTGCGAAATATGGTGTGAGGTTGATGAAAGAGACTATTGTACAATTTACAGCATAATTCTTGTATACTGCACAGTAGAGCGAAAAAGATTTTATTCTACATACATTCATAAACTACCGAATACTGGCTATTGATCAGGTGAAAATCTAGTCATCGATGACATCTATCTTCCTATCTGTTGCTACATTCCATCATTCTTCTAGTAATTTATCATCTACTATAGATACTTGATGTAGTATACGATCACTAATTTCTCAATAATGATTAACTAACACATGTAGAATATCCAAAATTGACAAACCTTCCTCCATAATTTGACAAGGTAGCAGAGTAACAACAACGATAATGAAAATAGGGTTTTTCTTGCAAAAGCTAAACTAAGAGATAGAAATAGAGTTTCAACACAATACAACGCTACAAGAAAGTACTTGAGCGTCTTTACAACTTCCATTACTGTAGAAGAGGAAAAGCTTACCCTGATGAAAGCAAGAGGGAAGATCAAAAGCATCGACGCAGCAGTTTTCTGCTGAATAATAAATGATCAAACAAGAAGGAAAGATGGAAGTCGGATACTATGACAACGATATTGTAGTCTCAGTACTTCCGGTATTGACACAACATAATCCGAAGTCTTGGAATACACTATTCAGTATAGTATGCTCGCTAGTGTCTTGTACACTATACAGTATCGATAGCTTCTAGCTACAGTAGTCTCATCATGGCGTAACCTACGTAAAAGAGAAACTAGACTCTACATGTTGAATGATGATGCAGACTTGAATTGGGGGTTAAAGTCCGAATTAAGAGGGAAAATATTTGAATTTTGGGCTTTAGCTAGCTATAATTAAGCTTGATTATGCATAATAGCCGGCTAAGTCTAAGTTAAGAGGAAAAATAGTTGAGTTTTCTAGCTTTAGGTAGGCTGCTACTGTATGCCTAAGTTGGATTATGCATACGAGTAATAACTGGCCAAGTCGGAATTAAGAGGAAAAAATGTTTGAATTTCGGCCTTTAGCTGGCTATATCAGTATAACATTAATCGTATTAATCGATTTTATTGCTCGACGGAAGTTATACTGTAAGGCTGAATCAGACTAAACTTATATCGGATCATTTCGGTCTGTTATATGCTTAATATCCGGGTTTAGGCTTTTAGCTGCAACATAATCGTTGACATTAATAATAATTTATTATAATGGACGATACTTGTTGCCTTATGCCTTATTATATATGACAATATATATGCTACAGTACAGTATATCACTCAATCGAAGCATACTGCATTCGTTCTTTTTTCAATTAATTCTAGAGGAGTTGAGCACTCCTCAGGGATCCTTAAAGTATTCGGTGCATAGGCCTTGCAATATTGAGATTTCAGAAATAGGTGTTTGCAAATTCTTTGCATTATGTATTACAAAAATATTATTAATTAATGGACCAGGTAGTGCATCATCAGTAAGTTACTGACTGCTCAAGCTAGGGTTTAACATTCGATTCGATTCGACGAACTCTACTTAGTATCAGACAAGCGTAGCAAATGCCAAATGCTCTATATCGAATCATTGGCCATGTTTTCCAGCATAAGCTCTACTCGTGTATTCAAAATGGAGGTGTTTCTCGTATTTTTAACCAAGTGCAGTATTCATTTTTTCGAAGCTGACGGTTGAACTATTGAAATACTAGTTGCAAAAACTTGCAATTGCTCAGACATAAGCTTGAATGTACAACTTAGGGTATTAATAGTAATTAATTATTGTAATGATCGATTTTCGACGTGATGTTATCATGACAATCGTATGTAGCATGCTGTCTTTACGTTAACCAGTCGAGACTACAGCAGCATGCATTTCATCGATTAATATTATCAAATGATCTAAGGGTCGTCAACATGAGTAGCAGTGTTAGCAGCTAGGCTAGCTGTCGCTTGCAATCCGACGTATGTTTAGATTGAACTTTTGAAACGATAAAATGAACCTGGGTTGTGTTACTTACTGAAAAAGAAATGACAAATTAGGCTGCAAAGTCTCGCCTGCATTAGCTATATAACTGTAGACTTTTACAGTATGGCAGCACCTTGCAAAGTCTCGCCTGCATTAGCTATGTAACTGTAGATTTATACAGTGCGGCAGCACCTTGATAGATTTACTGAGAAAGAAATGATAAATGAGGCTGGATTGCGAGATTGCAAAGTCTCGTCTGCATTAGGTATATAACTGTAGATTTTTACAGTATGGCAGCACCTTGGCAGATTTACAGAAAAAGAAATGACAAATGAGGCTGGATTGCGAGATTGCAAAGTCTCGCCTGCATTAGCTATATAACTGTAGATTTTTACAGTATGGCAGCACCTTGATAGATTTACAGAGAAAGAAATGACAAATGAGGCTGGATTGCGAGATTGCAAAGTCTCGCCTGCATTAGGTATATAAGTGTAGATTTGTATAGTATGGCACTATGGCAGCACCTTGGTAGATTTACAGAAAAAGAAATGACAAATGAGGCTGGATTGCAAGATTGCAAAGTCTCGTCTGCATTAGGTATATAAGTGTAGATTTGTATAGTATGGCACTATGGCAGCACCTTGGTAGATTTACAGAAAAAGAAATGACAAATGAGGCTAGATTGGGAGATTGCAAAGGCTCGCCTGCATTAGGTATATAACTGTAGATTTGTATAGTATGGCAGCACCTTGGTGGAGAAACTAATGCATGGAGAACTGGTTATTTGCTACATTGTAAATGATTAATTAATGAATTGATTATAATAAATCAATATCGATGCAGCATTGCAAATGTCTAAATTTGCAACTCCAGGACAGCTAATTAATTTATGTTATACATTAATTAATGAATTAATTAAGCATTACTGCTATCCATACGGATCACTATATACTACACTGTACAGCACTATAATGCCATATTGGATTTGTTAGTATTGCAAGAATCAGGAATCAGTACTGTACTATACATTAATTATAAATAGTCAAAATCTTATCATGGCTACCAAACAGTCCCATAATCCCATACTATATATACTATCTTTCAACTAGTGCCTCGGTGTCTATACAATTCAACATAAGAACGACCTTCAACATCAGCTCCAGCTAACAAACATGGTGGCCTGGACCAGCCAAGTGGCTTACTGAAACAGTTGGTTTAATACTCATCCTTTTGATTATTTTCAATCTAGTTCAAGCTAAACTTTGAAGACAGTATTTACTGCATCAGCCTACCTGGAAGAAAGTGGCAATAAACTACTTGAGTTAACTTGTAGTGGACTTGTTTAAGAGGGAGTGGATCGAAGATTGGAGTGTCTGCTCAAAAACTAGCTGAAGGATAAGTGTGCTTTCTACTGCAAGGATAGATCATCGTACTGTAATCTAGTTATTATCATCGTCATCATCATGGTCTTTTTAGCTTGCAACAGTTCTTTAGCTAGGAATTGTACCAAGTATGGATTACATTATCGTAATAGATTAACACTTATTGGAGTTCGATCAATTTCACACGCGTGTTCATTCGATTGGAGTAGAAAACCATACCATATTATTCGTTTTAGCCATGGAAAATCCAAGCACTACTTTGCAACAACATTCAACGCCAATCTTCAACATCATCGATTATTTGTCAATCGAACCAGTCCCAACTTAAATAACGACAATAATAGAAGTGATAATCCTGCCGGAGAAACCAAAATTGTTACAGTTGATCTAGCAGGTTTGACAAGACCCATTAAAACTGCTGTTACATTCTTCTTACTAGGAAGAGTGCTTGGTCATGACTTTAGTAAGGATTCATTCTTAGAAGGTGCCAACCAGGTAGAGAAATAGCTAAATAGCTACAACTACTTATACAATTGAAATTGCATCTAGTCTATTGTACATTAGTTGAAAAGTAAATCCTTCTCAACTTGATACTAGTTCATTAAGTTATACAATTTTACGAAAATAGCTGACCAGTTGGTATCCACACAAATACCAGTTGAAGGATACTAAATACAGTAGGTGCTAATAGACAAGAATCTCGAGTTTTGTGTGCATGCTGTCGTTTACCATTCACCTAAACGTATAGGTGCTATTATCTGGCATGGATGACTTAGTTTACAGTAGTACAACTGCGGGTTGAGGCTTTCTAAATAGCTTGAAAATAGGACATGGACTATATCGTTCCATCGTCAATCAATGCTCCTATATGACTCTAATTCTACAAATCTTAGAGGAAAGGACTTCCTCTTAGGAGTGTAGTTTATAGTTTATGATTTACATGTATGTATAGGTAAATTAGGTACTTCTATCTAATTTGCACTAAAGTATTTTATTCTACTGTAGCACAGCTACAAGTTAAGGGCTCATCGAATATAGCTTCAAAACACCTTCGCTATGTTATTCCATGCTATTATATTACAGTACTGCAATTCACAAATCTTACAAAAAAGAACCCCTAGTAACGCCTATACTTTGCAATTTATCAGGTAAGTATACATGCTGTACTAACACTTGAAATGGGCAGTCAGTACAAATATCTGGTCGATCATCTTGCTCGTATAGTATTACAGTTTTACTAATTTTAGAGACCACTTTCTTAAATCAACAATCTGTACAAAGAACTACTACAGAACTTCAAAATACTGTGTGACGTACTCTCTACTTTCTTATCATTTAATACTGCTACTGCACAACAAAAATTGACATATTTCAGAGAAATGGACCTTGACTATATGAATATATAGACTTTAGGATTACCTCAATAGCATAGATAGCGACCATCATAGCTATAACATATGGAACGATTTCTAATTTAAGTGAATGGATTAGATATCTTTTGTGCTCGCATTTATACGCAGTATACATCTACATTGCTGTAAGTATTTAACGCTGCTATTATTTTCCGCACTATCTAGGCTATGAAAATGATTTGTGATGCAATCTCTACCGATGATTATTCAAGGATTGAAGATTTACTCAGTCCAGAAGTAAGGCAACTTGATCGAGGGATACCATTATGTAGATATATGTATTTAAAGTTCAATTAAGGTGCTTACCAATACAGAGATATTCTGCTAGTACTATCTTTAGTAATATTAAAAGACATTACCGTAAATTTCAAACTTAGATACCATCAAAACTTTTGATCGTTTGAATAGTAAACTGATATGTCAAATTTCAAGTTCGAAATCTCTAGATGATTAAGCTTAATCTTAAGAATTAGTTAATTATTTACCAACAGGAAAGGAAATGGTTATCTAACATAAGCCATAACCTCTTTTACTGATTTAGGCAAAAGCTTCTGCTAAACAGTGCAAAACGACCCTAGACCGTCGTGGATGGGATATACGTAATATTTTAAATTATAACGGACAACCTTTAACCCAAATCTTTAGGGTTTTTCCATCTATAATAACAATAATTTATGAACCTGAAGGTAATTGCTAATTTGCCAAGTAAAATTGTTTTATGATTGAAATTACCTAGAATTTACACAAATTTATGAGCGACTGAAACCGACCAAGGCTATCTTATAACTATTACTCTTGTTAATAAACTATGTTAATCACACATAGGTAAAAAATTCATTTTTATATGCGTTCGGTACCTATACGTTGATTTGTCATCTATACAACCTGAAACTGTTGGTTCAAAGTTATTCTCAGAAGAAGGAAGAATATCATTAAGGAATGATATGAAATTTATTATGGCATCAGTGAGGTTAGAAACACTTACGGCTTATTAAATAGTAAAATCAGAAATACAGTAACTTTTATATTACCCTTCTTCTTTCCTACAATGCAATGCTTAGATACAAGCGAGAATTTACAACCGGTGCAGAGCCAGATTGGACTGTATCGGGTTTCAAACTTATTCATCCCACAAGTGAAGATTAATGGTTAATAGTCAAAAGCAGCAGACACTTTGTCAATACGACAGCATTATCTAAATGTAATACTCGTAGGTCCAAATTTAAATGGTTAGGTGGTAACATGCACAATGGAAAAGAGTATAGTAAATATTATTATTCAAATTTTACTGTATCTATCGGTGATATTGCCCTCGTAACTATTGTTACCATGAAGAAATGGTTTGTGAATTTGAAATTGGTTTATGGCTCGAGAATTATTATAAGCAAATAGTCGTTGAAAAATTTAGACTTATAATGATCCATTGCTTACAGATCATAAAAATTACCATTAGATAATGATCTCAACTATACAGTATACACTACATTTATGCAGTCAAACAGAAATATTTTAGCTCCAACGCTAAAAAATGCCAGTACAAAAATCGTTTTTCCATCATCTAGTCCCAATTATATTGATCATATTATGAATACGCTTTACAATAATAATTACATGCAATGGAAAACCAAACAAAATATATCTATCTCGCGCGAAAGTTCTATCGCAGCTGGAGAGCTTGCTTTCTTTTTCTTTTATGTAATTAGTTTTAATTGTTGCATTATCGTCTTGATGCTATTACATAAAACACGGAAAAATTTTGTTAAATAAGCGCTAATATGATTAATCGTTTTCATAATGAAACGGTGACCTACATGTCGAAGAGGTTACTATCCGAACATGATGATATTAACGACTGCAATGTCTTTTGGATGCCTAATTCGCTTAATTTATGCCTTCGACTTGATGCTCCTAGATTGCATTATTTAAAATCATGAACGTCAAAACACAAATCAGGTCACTCACCATATATGTAGAAATTAAAATTACTCTAAAAGTACGCATAATCATACACCAGTACCAGTTCGAAAATTTAGTATTTTGATCTAAATACCTTCATGCATGTTGGAGATGAGATTTGAAACTACGCGGCAAGCCGCTAATTGTATCCCAGATTTCTCGCATGACTAAATTCGATTTTGCAAAATTAGTTTAGAGTTTATGAGTAACAAATACATACAAATAATCTCATGCGTTCACGTACCATTAACGTTAAGATAGCTTTCAATAAGTCATCATCAGCTGCCATCAATTCCTTCGTGGCTACCCCAGCACTCGCCATATTCAATACTACACATAACGTCTACCCCCAAAGAATGTAATTACTGCATTAATATTTCCTCCAGTACAGCGTACAGTTAGTAGCAGTACTACAGTAGGTAAATTTTACCTGCTCAAGAATCTCCTTATCATAGTCATTCGAGAGAATAATTGATCTTAACGCAGCCACAATATTGCATCCGTGAAGTCCCATAATGAAATCAGCATCCTTGTAAGAATAATAAAACAGTATTAACCATTTTCATTTGCGAATCTGAATTATTGTGCACATAACTCTTACTTCTGTTGAACATAAGATATTTCGTAGCAACCCAAGACATTTTAAAATTCGTGCTTTGCCATCAACAGTCCGTAAATATTCTATGTTCAAAAATCTGTTCCATCACACAATATAAAAAGTAACATACACAGTTATAATTAGAGTAAATAATTAAAAATTAGCACTTTTCATATCTAACTATTTCTTACAACACACTCTAGACACTAGATTACTAACTCATAATAACTTATGAAATTTTGTAAACTACTGCAGATGGCAATGAAAATTAAAGCAAGTATTTATATCAACGAAAGTCGAAAAGTCATTTCAAATAGTAGCTTTTTATAGTTAGCTCTTACTCAAAAAGTTGTTGAGGTGACAATGATAGTATTATGTTACATTTCGTATCTATATCGGTCCCATGTGATAAGTTCTATCAAAAATACGGAAATAGTTACCTAACTGCAAATACATCCATAGTGGGTAATAATAATATTAGTAGTAATAACAGTAAATACGCTATATCGTATAACCCATCGTACGTGCACGTATATATTTCTCATACCATATACGCCCAAAGGGCATTGAGTTGAATGCTCTTCGACTCATGTTGAGCAAGAGTGGATAGAAATTTTAAAATAGGGACTTTCAATAACGACTACAAATGATGATAGACAAAATGATAATAAAAAGTGTCAAAAAGGAGCATTATTGCGATCTTACACACTCGGCGTAATATTGGCAATTGGTCACTACATCTATCATATATCAGACATTATCATGAAATATAATAATTACGCGGAGGATACCTTTCTAGCCGGAGAAAAGTCAAGTACAAGATTGCAGATAACAGCACTCAAGATTGTTAACAATTCTTCCGAAATATTTTTATCTTCATTAAGAATCTACAAAAGCAGATTAAAATTATCAATGCAGTAGCGAAGGAATATTTGTGCGTCACATTATACCTTCCACACAGGCTTCCAGACTTCATTATCACTAAGATTTGTTCGTAACTGCTGTACAGACCGAGAAAAGCTAAGAAGGCAACTGTAGTAAAAACAGATACAATATAAAACCATTAAGTTTAAATACGGTTCTGATGGTTTCGTATGGTAGGCGTATATTTGACGATTGCTGGTATATTTTATTACTTGGCAGCTGCGTGCTTCACTTTATAATTAGAATCTTCTAAACCTCTAACGACATGTTTTATTATGTGTGGTTCAATTTCTGTGACCTAAAATGCAATCCCAAAATATTTGCTTTACAAAACTACTTTTGCATAATCCAATTCATTTAAATAACATCTGCAACTGCGGAAATATTCTAAATCTAGTTCATTAGATGGAGGAGTTAAATCACAATAGTACATTACCTTTTTCCTGCTAGTTTCACTATGAGCACATAACGCAGCAAAGACATGGAATGCACCCTAGATATTGCCCAAAATGGTAGCGGTATAGTTTCAAATTGTTAAGATAATCTGCTATTATTAATCGGAAAGTGTTAATTCAAACCTGTTTCATGTAGGAGAAAGTGTCTGGATCAAGTTCAGTTCTCTTTAGATATCGCGAAATACTGCGCAAAAGGTGATTCGTATACATTGCTAGTTCTTGTAATTCCTGGTCATCTTCCAAGAGGTAAGATAATATATCTGCGGCTAGATACTGTATCCTAGGAGGATTATCCCCCTTACACATGCGGGCTAAAGTTGGCATAACCTATGAAATTATTTATATCAAGTGTTTCATTATAATCTCTTGCCGTACTACTATCAATCTACTAACGGTAGAATAAAGAGGATACCTTCAAACGAATTAAAACTCTATCACTTGAAATAACCCCAGTACGACATAAGTACGTGAGACTAAATGAAAATAAGAAAACAGCAGTCAGTAAAACTCATGCGAATCAATTCTTCAGCAATACATTGCAACTAGATCGCTCACCACTTTGCAGCGAGGAACTGAAGGTAGAGTGACTTGTCTCTGCTTATCATTCCTCCGAAAATCTCCACTAATGTCTTGCCAGATTCTTCAGCTGTTGGTACAAATTAAAAACTGAAATTTTAGTACACATAGCTCAAATCATAGCCTTACAAAATTTTAGCCAAGTTTCACTAACGAAGAGAAATGATAAAAATAGTATAAATTTACTAACTTTTTGCAATTATTTCAGCAATTGTTCCATTTTTATATGCCAAGGTTGCAAAACAAGATAATGTTGGAGCTAAGATCTTTATAAAAAATAGACCATTTGTCAAAAGCGGGAAGTTGCATTAAGTTCTTTGCGTTTAAACACTTATCTAATTAATTAACGTACGATGGCATAATTTTAGCTTGCTTTCTGTACGATAACGTAAGAAACAATAGTAATTACCTTTTCCGATTTATATTCCAATAGCGGCTTTAGAATGTCAACTGCATTGGCACTAAACAAAATTACTTGTTGTTCCGAGTTCTATAATGTAAAAATCAAGTAATTACATGTGGTCACTAAATCAGCACTATGAAAAATGCAATAGCAAGATGATTAATGAACTATTAGTACCCTGCAGCAATTGGATAGGATCAAAGTCGCATATTCTGAATGTACGCGAGAACGTGATAATAGTTGTAAAAGCTTAATAATCCCAGCTGAATTCTAAAATATTGGCGAATTATTTATTATTGTTTAGCCGTTCATTCTTAGATCACAAATTCAGAAATTGATAGTACTATCGATTTAATATGCAAAAGATGCTGTTACTTCTTCATATAAAGGTTCACTCGGTGTCAGATCAGAAAGATAGAAATTTCTTAATGTGCGTAATGAAGCCGTTACAACGTCATGATCATCATGAAATAATCCTACAATAAATTATGACAGTAATACATTAATTATATAATAGCTATTAAAAGAGTCTATGAGAATTTTCGCCATATTCACTTTCATGAAGCTACGGTATGATTTAAACGCAGTTATTTTCAATATATTACGTGTAGACAATACCTTTAATAACGATGGGTAAGGCCTGCGTTTGTAGAATCTTTTCCATAATTTGCCTTTCTATTAATTTTTTATCGAAATTTAAGGTTAGATATTAGTCAGAACAGAAATATGTAATAATCCTTAGATAGTTACCTTTACTCAAGCTTCCAAGAATTATTGTCGATTCAATTATTATCCATTTGCAATCATTGTCCTGGACCATTAGATGTAGTAACCTATCAATAGAAATAATAATGTACATGTTAAGACTTGACTACATTTTTTTATACGTGCACATTAATGCGGTAAACTTTTAATTACAGCATCCAAATGTCACGCAATGACCTATGACATAACTATCGTTCAACATCTACTTCTTTATAGCAATTAATATCACTAATAATTTACCTGGGTATTATTCCTAAATCTACATATGCAACTTTCTTAGTAACATCGCCAATAACAACATTCTTGATGTCACTTTAAAATATATCCATAAGAAAGAAATGATAAGTAGGCAAATAATATTTAAGGGTACATCATGCTGTATCATATACATCACATCGAACAGTAATAAAATCACTATCAACAAGTTTGCTATCATAGTCTATAAATTAATAAAAAAATATGTTCTAACAGGGCAGAGGTATGTAGGATTAATTAAATTAAACAACAAATAAAAAATACTTATATTGTGCACGTAGCTAAAAATGAACATCATTTAACAAGATATACTTAGATTTAAGAGGTAGTGAATGCTCATGCCATGTCATTCGGAAAACTATTGAATCTCTAAATAGCAATAGCGTGATATATTTAGTAAACTTACACTACAGTTGCCTTCCTTTCTTCTATTGAAGAGCTAAATAAATTATCAATCTGCGCTTGATGTTTTTCTTTTTCCTAAATAAATAAAAAAATTTCATCCAATTCACTCAAGTAATCTTTATAAATTTGAGGGCACGCAGCTAAGATCGATTGGCATTTAATAATTAGGATATCTCATTTCTATAAACGTTACATATGATCGAAATTATACTTTATATCGAAGCTTAGTAAATTGTTACACGTGCATATCAAGAGAAGCAAAAAGGTGAAATTTCTGTCTCGATTTGGCCTATCCATTTCACCATATTGGTCGCGTAGAATAAACTCGTAAATAATGACAACGAAAGTATAATATTACATAAAATATTCTTTCTTATTCATAAAATTCAAAATTAGATTGTAATCGATTAGGAAAATATAATAATGTATCCTAATGTATAAACATATTACTTTAATTAATTACATAAAATTAAATGCTACAAATTTGCCATTTCAAAGTAAATAAATAAATTACTGTTACGATGAGAAATTACAAGGTACTCGTATGACACAAAGGCCTTTTTCAATAATAATAATAATCTATTATAATTCTTACCCCAGTATTATTAAACAATTTACGGTTATTTTTATTATGATGATGGATTACTATTCTCATTTTGGTAATATTGAATATTGCATAAATAAGTAATTAATCGATTGTACGTTGCTATCATGTTATATTCCTAAATCTATCCCATCAAGGTATGTTTTATAAAGATTTTCAATCTTTCATAATTGATCAGCCATTAAAGTAGGTATTTGAGTAACTGTTTAAACCATGAAGATTCTAAGATTACCTGGAAATGATTTTGCACTAGCAACAATTGTTTATACAGTACAGTTGATTTGTGTTAAAATTGTCAAGGATGAAGAAAATTGTTTAGTTATCATCTTACGTAAGATTAAGTGTTTATACTATGATAATCTATAATTTGACTTGATGAAAAATTAGTCAAGGTGAGATTTATGTCACTATATTATCAATGAATTACTTTCCATAGCTCAATCAGGGGATTTCAACGATAATATGACAAAAGCGAGCCGGGAAGGGAGGAGGACAAGTATCCTTTTCCGCGGAATTGCCTTAATACGATGTTAGTTTTGGATGTATACTAATTTATACTTTATTTCTTAATAGTTACGTCATAGTTGGTAGGAAAAACAAATGTTAGGAAAAGGTCATGTAACATGAGTTAACATCACTGTGAATATTTTGGATAATAGAAATGAATAACAGAAAACGTCATGGACTGTGAGCATCGATTAAAAGTTTATCGTTATTAAGTTGAGAAATTACGTTTCGTAGATATACACGTCTATATGGAAAGGTAGTATAATTGATGTTTAACTGATGAGCCCGATCTACGAGTACAAGTACAGTTTTACCGTTGCGCAGTTCTGTATACTGAAGGTTAACGAATAGAGCGTGAATAAGCATTTTTTCCCCTCTATTTTAGGACAGTATGTGTGTTAGAACAAAATTATTAATAAAGTATTTTAATCACAGAAGGATATTTAATTTCAATTAATATCAAATACAAAATTCAGACACCCCGAGTGACGCATGTCGTAAGCCAGCTATCTGTCAGGATTGGAGTATCATAAGGCAGTTGCATGTTAAAATGATCTATTTTGAGGCAATCGTTTCGAATGATTATCGACGGTACGTTGAGAAATTTCTATTGCCTCTTGTAAATGAAATCAGTAAAAGAAACAAGTCCGATATTATTAAAGACCAATGCTGATGAATGAATATGACTTGGCCTATACGTAATGATAGAATTAAAGTTAAGCCAATAAGACAACTCGAATCATCTTCTACATTTAGAGGAAGACGTGCTAGTCAGTCATTCTATGCTAACAAATTGATCGGTTCCCCCTCTAGCTTCATTAAAATGTATATTTATTCTCTAGCTTCTATTTTCTTTTACTATTGTAATCCTATGTAATAGGGTATTAGGAACAGAGATATACGTTAAAACTCAATTTTTATAGTATGAGTAGATTCGATGATGAAAGCTATCTATTGGATATAGTCATGAATTACATGATAGCATCCATATTCATCGTCATTACGATCATCTTTGCGTCCTTCATGAATCGAAAATCAGTAAAACTAATAAGTAATAACAAATCCTATACTACTACTAGAGTTGGATCAAGGAGAGTTTATGAACTGATCTTCTCTACCTCCATATTAGCACTAATCAAATGCAACTAGAACTACATAGGCAGATTATCTATTGATGATCCTATAACATCATCATTATCTCAACATCCTTTACAAATAGAAAATCAAGACTAATTCTCCTTCAGATTGAAAAGGAGTTTACAGCCTACATTATTTCTCATTAGAAGTGAATGCTCTATCTCTCCATACTAGAATTGAAACTGCATCCAGACAACTGCTAATGGCTATATTACTACTATCCAATAGAGTGAAATAGATCATTTTTCTAACTGGAAATAAATGCTCTATACCTCCCGATTCGACATAATCCAATCCAACAAGGAGAATATAAGTAGAATCTTAAGGTATTATTGATGATCCTATAGTCAGTCTGTGTACATCATCATCACCGTTGTTTGGATTACCAAGTGAAAATCAACAAGACTCATACTCATTCCTAACACATCACAATACAAGAGAGCTTATAAATTCATTTGCCAACCAATATCCTACATCTCCTTGTTAAAACTAAGCCAATGTAACTAGGACATGAACAGATTTTGCATTGTATCATCATCACTACTGATCATACAGTATTGGTCCAATTGAAAATGACTAACGGCCTACAACTAATCGATCTTATTACCACAAGTGACAGCATCAAGGAGAGTCTATAAACTCATTTCTCTAACTAAGACTAAATCTTCTATACTTCCCTATCAGAATTAATCCAATTTAAAGCGATCAATATCAACAAATTGTCATTCATCAACATATTGACTAACGTTGCCATTGAACTCCATCTTGCTATGCTAACATTCCATCATACAAATGATCATCGTCATACAATGCAAATTTTTCTTACCAAAGTAAAAATCATCTTCAATACAATAGGTAGAAAAGATCGCTGTGTAATGTAGGGAAGATCTTCAACGATAATTGGCAAGGATTAACTGGATATTTGTCATCAAATTGGAGGCGCCACACTGCAGCTTAGACTTGCCAAGTAAAAGAGCGCGTGGAAACGATGGATAGCTTATACTGGATACTAGACGTTAGACTGTCGAAATGGCCAGTTGCCATGGAATTGGCTCTGCTCGGCTACCATGATGGATGTCCAGCATGGTGTTTTATACAGTAGTCAGTGTTGTATATTTTACTATCAAGAATCAGCCCTGTTGGTGGATTGATATCAATGTAGTCTGGCCAATAACTGCAAAGTAGTGTACGGCGTAGTGCATTCTAACCTATACTAAAGCCTGTTAATACTCTAATAGAGCGAGAATTACTATGGGCTTTTTTTTACTTTTCCTGTTACAGACAGCTGGTGGACGGATGTTCTGCACCAATCCTCCGGCAGAGTGCTCGAGTGGCTGTTCAATTTAGAGGCCACAGGTATCATGGAGGGATATACTGTCAATGAGCTAATTATATAATATATATATGTTATATATATAATATGATCAAGGGAAAATTAAGAATAAGGGAATGTTTTGTATGAAAATAAAATGCATTACAAATCAATTGAATAAATAATGAATTAGCTCCACTTATAAGACAAACTTAAAATATTCCTTTCCACGATGCCTGCTCACTGCTTAGTGATCAAGGTCTATCATTTTTTCATCAACTCGATCATGGACTATTCTTACATGCATCCAGGAGTTCATGACTCTATCTTACAGCAGCAAAAAGGAATCTCCATTCCATACTGCATATGTTCAAATGAATAATTTCTACGCATGGCAAGATCAACTTAAAATAGCGTGTACATGTACACTGTGTTTTTTTCCCTGTAGGCATCCACTGTAACTAGTTATAGACTTGATCTTGTAGACTAGCCGTGGTCATAATTATGAATAAACAGCAATCCATATGCGAATGAGCTTTACTTGCCTTACTAACTCAAACTACAACTTGCAGTAATAGATGGCAATCCACATACAGTTTCACCTCTTCTTCTTCATACGAGTATACATGACAACTGTACGCTCAGAGGTGTTCTTAACAGATAAACTTTCAAATATTACTTTTTTACAGTCCATAACTAAAGCAAATCACGCACTCCATCGAACAATTATACGCAGACAGCAATCTACACGTAGTTTCTCCTCTTTCTTCTCCAAGTCAATAAGTACAACGCTCATAGATATTTCTAGATTCGTATACCTGTAGTTCAAACTAGCTATTGAAGCGTACTGCTCTATTTTACAATAACATGCAGCTTCTTCTCTTTCTTCTTCATGGAAAAAATGTATGCATAACGCTCGTAGGCATTTATATACTCGTACGCCTGTAGCTCAAACTAACTATTTATGCATGCTACTTCTATGGTAGTATTAACTGATAAACACTATAGTTACGCTTTATTTCCACGGTAGTAAACACAAATGATCATATACAACTATGGAACCCTACCTTGACATTACTCGTATTACCGATACTGCACTCTGCCATGCACTATTCACTAGTTATGACTTTGCCAACAGTATGGTGTACCTTGATGACGCTATCTGGAATCAGTAAATATGCTCCCTACCAATAAAACTTTGAATACAGGTCGAGCTTTATTTCTTAAAATTACAGCAATAATTAAATTAATATTGTTAACCTCGTGATCCTGCTCACAAAATAATTCGCATAGAATATGATGCCATCGTTATGTGTATATTTAAATAACTTATGGTTACCTCAACTACATGCAAACTAATATCTATTGTCTACTACAATCAACCTTAATATTATTATTGGTCCATGGCATCATATTATGTTATATTTCTTTGAAAATTAATAAAAAAATACATAAAGTTGGTTTGTTAATATTGTACCGATAAAATTACTAGTAAATAACTTCCAATGAAACAAAAATGTCATATTATTATATGGTTTGCTAAAAATATTTTAAAGCTTGGCTTGCACAATTGTACAGTTTAATTTCATGGGTAAATTCAAGATACGAAAGTAGCAAGTTTTTCGTAACAACATAATTCAATTTTTTACAGCGAATAATATTATAAAGTGCTTGGTTCATAAAGGATTACTAACACAATGGGTTTATGCTAGTATGTGATTATCAGATTATAGTCTATAGTACAAAGTCGTAGATATCTACAGTGCGATAGCGCAATTGTCATTTCAAAGGTTCATGCCTGAGCAATATACGACGTAGTGTAGAATTATCGTCGTTATAAATAGACTTACTGTAGCGTAATAAACTTTAAATTTTTCAATTGAGCATGTATGCCATCATCCATTCTTATAGGCTACTCCAACTGTAGAAAATACATTAAAAATTGAATGAAATTAATCTACCTCAAATCTTCCTTTCATGTACAATCAATCGCACGCTATTCTTCACTTAATGAATTGGTAGTAGGAGATACATTTTTTTCTGCAAACTCTAATACAGCTTTGTAGCAAAATTCATACTGTTGCCATGTTTGTATCATGGCATCTCTTTGGCTTCGAATCGCACAAACAGTTTCCATAATATTGACTTTCCTTGTCTTTGCAAACTGCTGACAGCAAATATCAACTGTAGCATAGGTACCCGTTCTACCAACGCCTGCACTACAATGGATAACAATTGGTGGTAAAGGCTGCTCTTTACTGTTAGTGTTATCATCAACTGAAGAATTTACACTTCTATTAAGGTGATTGATGTTTTCGATCATTTTCAATAATGGAGAAGCACTAGGAGGAATACCGAAATCAGGCCAAGACGTAAACCGAAATAGGTAAATGCATCGGGTACTGAGCTACAATTAATTACCCATCAATTAAAGAAATTACTATTTTATTTAGCACAATAATAGATTGAACTAAAAAGAATCTATAAATGACTTTTTCATTTCATAAGAACATACGGATATCAATACCAATACTGTAACTATTACCATACCGATCCTTCCGATTCCTCGCAATATATGCTAAGTTTATGCAAGACATAATGTTCCTTTTCAGTTGTCGATTCGTGTTCAACAGTTAATTTGCCATAAATCAAAATCTCGCCGTCATTAGGCCAGTATTGGGAGCATTTAACGCGGCCATTTTCATATAATCTAATTGAACAAAGATTACTTTAATGAGTCGAGAATACATCGATTACTTATCTAACCGCAGATCGAGAGTTCTACCTTGCTAACATGACGATAATATTAACTTTTTCAGCCCAAATCATTTTCCAAAAATCTGTCATTGTATCTGGCAGAGGTCCTAAGATACATACACGATATACATACAGTGGGTCAGTAAGTACATTAGTTTAGGTGCTAGCCATCTTTAGTAAAATTAATTTCATAACCTTTACAGCAATTAACACACAGTAACACCGAAAAATGCTCCAATCCTTAATCAAATATAGTACTTGGATAGCAAAACAACACAATCACAATAATACAAAAAAATAAACCTTTCGCTACAATCCCATAAAAATAGAATGAAGGAAATTTACATTTAAAGGACCCTGTATCCATGCATTATTTTACCTTGAGTTGCAATATATGCGTTACCATTGCTATATCCATTGACATAATTCGCATGTATATAAGAACAATCCTGAAAAAATAATTTCAATACATATTAATCGATTGAACAGCTGGCGTAATTTTTTATAATCTTAATTAGTATTTCTAAACATTGTGAGCTTCACTGGTTTTATAATTGAAAAAAAACTACAAGATCAAGACGTAACTAAACTATTACACCCTACCTCATTGCTGTTGTCATCTCCAATATCTTTAGGTAAACGCACACGACTACTTTCTAGGCAAAGGATATTCTGGTATCTATTTTTCTTTCTGTTACAAGGTTTTCTAAGTAAAATAAATAAATTGCATACAAAGATAGGAATTCCATTAGCAAACACACATGATCTCAAATGTTGATATTATATTGACATCAAATTTAGTAAATTTTATTTTCAAGCTTACAAAGATGATTCAAAATTAGTTCCTTTTGATTCTTCATCCCATCGTGATTTTTTGCTAATCTCTTGATACTCCTCTAGTAGTTGATCCCTGTCATTGGTACGATCTTTAAGATCTTGAAAATTTAGAGCTGCTTGTCCAGTTGATTTTTGTCTTTTCAATTCTGATGTACGCGTGTAATAAAATCCCTTCTGGACATCGTAAATATGGCAACTATTTGTTAGCTTGTTTAACCAAATATTATAACAAAATTTGGAATTTCCGCCTAATTCATTAGGTAAAGCATCTTCAGGTACGAACTTCTTCAAACTACTATTATCTACGAATACCACCTAAAAAAGTGCAGTAAGCTCGAATTATTTCAATTGATAAATCGGAAATAGAAATTGCTGCAAAACTTACTCTATCTCTTAATTTCCGATTAAGTATTTCAAAATAAAATTTTGCTGCATATCTCAAAATCAGACTACAATTGATAGCTAATATTTTCTTCACAGATATCGGATAGTTTCCCTAAAAGCCAAGTAGAAACGATTACAGTTTAAACTTGTATGGTTTAGTCCTATATACTCTGTACCAACACAATAGAAAGTCAGCAAAATAAAAAGAGATTAAATAAAAGTGCCACATTTAATTCAAGTACTAAAATTGAGAATAACTATTGGAAAATATACCTGTATAACTTTTAAGATAGTGCGGACAAAATCTTTTTCACCAGATGTTATTCCAACAGTGGTCAAGTCAATTAATAATATTACACCAGATTGTCTTGTTCGGGGACTACAAGAATTAATATTGCAATAACATATCTTAAATGATATACAGCCTACTTTTTACTTCACATCATTTTTATATAAGGCTGCAAAAATAGTAATACAATACAAGGACAATATACAAGCGTAAACTGTGCAGACCACACAAAAAATTATATGCCGTACTCTTTTAGAATTTGATCCAATTGAAATATCATTGATTTCAAAAAAGTCTGAATAGAGTTCTCTTCCTTCTTATAACGATGTGCCGTTAGTAGAAGAACGGAAGCATGATCTTTATCGCCCAAACGCTAAGTAGTAAGTAAAATAAAGATAATATTGGTAGAATATATTAGCATAATTTTTTATTGTCAGTAATAAATTTGATTTCTTGAATGAAATTTTGGACACCGACACAATATATTGTAACATAATATGAAATGCGGTACAAGGCAGGAAGACTAATCCCTTCAATAGACAGAGTTACTTCTAAGATATCAGTTTACATTGATGCTATAAATGTTTAAAATTGTAATTTTGGTAGTAGTGTATTAATCGTCTTGTTGATACTTACAGTGATATAAAATCGACGACTTCTCAATTCATCCTGTAAATCTTTATCATTAGGATTAATCCTGCATAAGTTATACTTTTTTCGAAAGTCCTAAGGATGAGCAATTATAAAATATTAAGTGTCGATAGGTATGACATTATCATTCCAACTGTGTGAATCATCCTTATAAATTTTATATTGTGTAACTAGAATATACTGACAATAAAAATGTTCACTACTATCAATGGCACCTAAAATGATATAGTAGTTGACATCTATTTCTTATATCTAAGTTCAAAATCAGGACTACAATCTTTAGATAGATAGTACAAGAGCTAACTAAAGACTACTACAGTTCTATATACGTCTATAAGAAAAGAAAATATAATTACCAATGTACATTAAAAAGTAGGATACAGATACTAATATTGAAACATATAACTACGTCATTGCTATCAGGAACAACAATTTACAGCACTTAATCGAAGCACGACAAAATGGACATTGCTTCAATTTCATCTTGATATCAGAATATAGAAAGTTAATACTAATCCTATTAACATAATTCTCTTTCTCTATTTGTATACAGTTAAATTAAGATTGTAACTCGGTTGAAAGATCAAAGTTATACCACTAGAGATTAATTTTTTATGCCAATCCATCTATACACAATAGCTACTGTTTTAATATCAATACGATCTTGTAGTAACGAAATATCAATTCAAGGGATAAACAAGAGCATTTACCAAATGTTGTTGAAACAGTGTCTTAGCTCGCTTTATGTCATTTTTTCGAGCAGCTACAAATATTTCTGCAGTTTGTGTGTTGATATTGGTAAAATTATCATCCATCTCTTGCAATGTTTGAATATCCTCTAGAAATTGTTGAATCAACTGCATTATATGCAGAAAAAGACAATTAATGGCGTGATTTACCAAACTAAAAAAAAATACTCGTATACAGTAATATTAAATTAGTTCTAACAATGTTGTTATTAAAAGAGGTGTATTACTAACTCATCCGAAAGATTATAACCTACAAACTAAATAAATATCAAAAATTGCATGATAAAAATGGTTACTATTAGCGGATAATATCATTACGAGATGGATAGTTTAATGTTGAATACGATAAGTGATACAGCGAAATCTGTAATGGGATTATCGTAAAATAATCTAGTTCAATAAAAGAAAATAGCCTAGATACTCTTTATCGTTCAACGGATGTAACATTGTATAACGTACTGAACAGAATGCGACGAAACTAACAAATAAAAAAAATTCGATAGGTCTATATTTACGAGATAAATATTGCTATAAGCAAACAAAAAGTATTTCAGGTCTATTTTTGTGAGTACTATAACTTACAGTAAATAAAATCGGTATACCTAACATTTTTTATATGATGGTATAAAATATAATTTGATCGGTAAAGGATAATAACATATATTTTTTTTTCAATATGTGTAAGTAATCTAGACAATAGTTGCAACTTGTTACTTATACTTTACCGTAAAGAATTGGAATCTGTTTGTATACTTATTTGTTCAAAACATTATCAGATTATAATCAATAGAAAGATAAGGAGATTAGTCTTATATAAAAATTGTCGACTGAGATCATGTCTACGTGTAATGCATTATATGTCAACGTAAATAATTTTCTTTTTGAACTACAAATAAACAGTGCCTCCAAATTAGAACTTGTTATAGGAAAAAAGTTTATGTCAAACAAACGAATTGTTTGTTATTCCAGAGTATAGAATCATTAATTAACGCCTACTCTCAAATCTATCCAAGCGTTGTATAGCAGTAACTAAAAATAGGGGTATTACTAAAGGATTAATAAATTAGTCGAATTCATTCTTGTTGCCTACAGTGGTTGAATTATTTACTGTTAACTTAAAGATGAAAAATGAGCAATAATATTAATACATCCAGTATGATTACGTCATTTTTTTTCTTCATATCCATTATCATGGACTATGCTGATTTATCCTCTACTTTCTAAAATCTCAGCCAGTATCCATTCAATTTTAGTGCAACAGTAGTAGATTTCGATTGTGTCACTGGCATGATATTCTGTAATATCTTGCCTACTGTGATACTGTAGTGAACTTGAAGCATTACAACTAAGACGTATAATTCCATTTCTTTTCCGTATCTATCTTAATTACGGTATGAGCAATAAATTTTCTAGCCGGATATGAACAGTACTATTGCTATTAAATTTATAAAAGCATATACATTGTATTAAAATAGTATTTTGGAATAGGTGTATCTATTGCAAATGAGTCATTTCAGAAATATGGTTTCACCAACTAATTCATTATACATATAACAATGATTATAAATAAAGTTTCTGATTAATAGGGTATTGGTTAGGAATAGAATTAGAGGCATATAAGATATCAGCCGAGTAACATCATTTAGGTTTGAAACTTTTTTCCCATACTACAGCGATGTATCAATCTCTATTGCAAGAGAGTAATATAGTCTGTCACTATGAAGAAAGACACAGTTAACGGTTACATCATGACGACCAAATTGATAGCCTTATATTCAGTATGGAGTATAAGAGAATAGGCATCGCGACTAATTTGAAAAGTTAACGTGAAAAAATCAGTTGAAAAATTGGGGAATACCGTATAAAGTAGATGTAGTACTGCTTTAAAATGTCGATATTAATAAAAGTAATTGAGTGGGAAAATTTTTAATAATACAATCTATAACAATACTATTGGGAAATCTAATTTCTTTCATGACATCATTTCATGAATTATGTCAGCGATATACATAGAGCTAATATGGTGTTTGTATTTTTATCACCTGAGCATAAAATAACTGGTAAGACACATAGATAGATTAGTCTCTTAAAACTACGCTACCTCCTGGCGTACTTCCTCCGATTCCGAACTAGCGCTACTGTCAGTCCCCTAAAATTAAGCGAAAGAAGAGATATTCAATAATGACTTGGATATAATAAGGAGAACCGTTGTAGCGATATAATCAAGTACCATTCTGCAAATTGATTGAGTCAATTTCTTAGTTATAACCTTAAATTTGATTTGTTTACAAGGTTATACTGTAACAACGCTATTTTACTATATAACCCAGCTGTTAGTACAATTTCAATATGAAAGAATCATTATACGTCAATTTTTCATTCAGTTTGTAATTACTCTAACTTTGAAATAATCTAAAGAGGCTGGTGTATAACGATACTGTGTCTTCGTTATTGATCATTCTACAGGAAATTATACAGATGATGAATAGTTGAAATGATTTAATGATTTATGAATCATAACGATGATCGAAGGTGAATATGTTGAAATTTTTGATTCCATTACTTCTAGTTAAAGGAGTAGCCACGTAATGGAATTGAATACTACTAGTAGGTATTAACGATGACAGGAATGCTTTAACCCTAGTTAAGGACGAATATCGTGTGTGATGTACAATCATCATGATCCATGTCTGATTTTATTATTATCGTGAGAATAATTCATTACTATAATCGACACTACAGAATCACTGGATAATACGAATGATTTTATCATTTTTCAACATCGTTACAGTTTTGCTTTTTTCATCCACTATCATGGTATGCAATGTAGAGGGTTTTATAATCACGAGATGAACAAATTTACAATGGAGATTTTAGCTTCACGGTAGATGCCATTTCATTGAAGGTAGTACGCCCTATGCCCTAGGCAATGTCGTCAAAAGACGCATGTAAAAGCAACTACCACATATTGAAAATTACAGTTATGATCGAAATAAAAACATTCATGAGATCACATTATGAAAATAAATAATTCACTATCGTCGACTGAACCAAATCGACAGTAAATAGGCTGCTTGCTTCTGATTATCTTACTAGTTGTGCTGGCCTAACTTGATGTGATCACAGGATATCTCAATCACACGTACGTGGACTAAAAGTGCCTGCAGGCAAAAATCAAAATGACAATTCAAATTACGATTTTCTGATACTGTAGGTGTTGGCCAAATGATTACAGTGGACAAGTGCTACCTAATTTATCACCTACAATTAAGTTGAGCTTGCAAATAATAGCCACTCTACAGGGGATAGCTACGGCATAATCTACCTATCACTTCATCACCCAAGTATAGAATTGACAAATCAATAAAATGTATTTTTTCCATTGGACGCAATTCAAGCAAACGTCAAAGTAGCTAGTAGTCAACTTTTCATCCATTTTGGACAGATTACATTGGATTTTCAGATGTTACTCTTGATAATCGTTTGTTGAAATCATCCATCAATACGATAGCGAGATTATCTTTGCAACACAAGATTGTTACGATAGCCAAAAAATAGTTCACTAGCATTGTCGATCATGATCGTTCAAAGTATGTAAAGATACATGGTAGGAATGTTTAAATCTTGCAATTTTTTGTCTTTTTAGGGGTACTAGGTGTGCTCGAAGTATCTTTCAAAATAACGATTACGACTGTGATTGCAATGATAGTAGCTCAATAACGTCTCGAATACTTTCTACAATGTAGATTGCAGAGTGAAAAAGAAAGTAAACCCAAAATGGTTAAACTATTGAAAATTGGAAGGAATCCTTTTGCAACTGTATACAGCTGAATAGCGTTGGTAATGCTGCATCAAAATATTGTATACATATTCGATTGCAGGATGAAAAAGAAAGCAAATCAAAAATGGTCCAAATATTGAAATTTTGAAGGAATCCTCCTCTTTCAACTGTTGTATCCAAGTCATGATTAAGTTGAAAGTATGACAGTACCGTTCTAATATGCTTTCTGGCTACAATTGCTATCAAATGGATGAATTACGAGCTCTGTATCTTTGAAAATAACGATTTTTCGACTAGAGTCGACTATGAAGTAATGATCAAGTTGAAAGTATGAAAATACAGTTAACATGCTTTTTCTACTGTAATTACTATCAAGTGGATGGCTAGCAAAATTAGTCACGTTATCTCAAGTGTTTTGTAAAAGAAAAACTTGTTCACTTGACCATTTTTAGTTGGCCAGTTAGTGTGGTTGATGTTACTGGACTTTGTAGAAGGTGTTGGAAAAATAAGTGGCAACAAAACTATGCACATTTTAGAAGGACACTATTCTTTATCTGCTAGGATATTGTGGAATGCTTAGTGTACAGTCATCACTTGGCGTTCAAAGTGCAATTTCAAGCAGTATCTTGTTCTCTTGTTGAGATTGAGATTGGATAGATGGATATCGTCATTAGACAGGGTAAAAGTAATAAAATTAGCGATTGGTATACTATCTCCAATCAATCTCGATTGCAATATTTTGATCTGTAGTCAAGCTTGTGCAAGTAAAATTGTGTCAGGATAAAGTACGATGAAAGTTGGTGATCCAATATCGTTGATTGGATCATGATGAGATGATGTCGTTGGATTTTGACATGATTGGGAATGGCCCCAAAATGACTGTACTCATCTTTTGATACATAGGATAGTCGATTGATAGCCCCCTGTAAAAAAGAAGAGAATATCAGCACACACTGAGACTAGATGAACTTGTTATTTAAATTCCCCTTGATCCATGTTCAAACAGTTATTTTCACTTTGTATCATGCCATCATGGTCGTGATCGCTTGACCATGGCCATTGCGACTTTTGCCTGCACAACAATGTCTATGGAAGGTTCACCATGATTGGCCGTCAAAGTAGAGGAAATTGGAAATGATTATGCTTTATTTGAAGGATGAAGTGGATGCTAGTCGATGAGAGTAAAGTGATTTTTGAAAGTAGCAGGTGTTGTCGTAAGCGATATTGTTGGATATGCACCCCTTTGTAAGTGAATTGACTACGGTATCATGTTGCAAGAGAGAAAGGATAGACAGTACTACAGACAGTCCAGAGTCCGATCATTTCTGCTCAAGACAAGGTTATTAAATGCTACTCCTTTGGGTGCTTTTCTACTCTTCATCAATGTATTAGGAAGTGATTGAATAGTCAAGTGTATGTGGACCAATTGGTGGACAACAAGAGTCCATTTTACCTTGGGTTGATGATTGTTTTCACAGGCTGCCATAGCCATGGCGTTGCATTCACCACTTACAAGGAAGTAAGTCTCAACTCTACAATGAAATAATATGATCCACTGTATCAAGCACATCCAAAACTGGCTTTGCTAACATCCATATGATGAAACGATGGATAACATGGTGAAATAATGAGGGGAAAAAAAAACTACCAATGGACCATAGAAAGAAATTCATTTCCTTCTCCTAATGACAACTTACAGGAATAGACGCCCTAGCGCGTAAAACCAAGATGTTGATGAGTCAGGATTTGCTATTCTACTCGTCTGCCAATTCAGTGAAGAATCTTGACCGAGTGTCGAGCCAACAAGGCAAAATACATCCAAAGTCTATCTGACAACACTCTACTCGTTGTCAACGTGATTGCAATATACTACCAGCGATTAATCTTCTGTCGTTGTCATCATTGAACCGTGGATATCGGATGGATTACTTTCCCTTGATTCCAACTGGATTCTACCACGTCCAATGGACTTGACTAGCAATAACCATGGCTACAATCATCCGCCGCCTAGCTTTGGCTAGGCCAAAGCGATTCCTCTACCGGCTAGCGGTAATGGACGTAACAGTAGCCTATCGTCCTGTTCCTACAGTCTACCGTGTACCGTATACTGTACTGTAGGGAGCGTGGGTGAAGTCCTGTCGACTACAGTGAAAAGTATCCTACCTTGGCTACAGTACTGTGCTGGACACTACCGAGTAAACTACGGAATGGAACGGAACGCGGATGCGCAGTTCAGCTTCCGGCGGAATGCGCCTGCGTAATTGCTTCATTCCCTCAAAGCGTGTAAAATACGGAATGCACCTGCGTATTTCTTACATTGCGCAAAAGTGGGCAAACTACGCACCATGATACGATACTGTACAGTACAATGATGACGCCATGGCTACAGTACTGTACAGTGTACACTGTACAATACATTCAACTCTGCTTGTGGTCCCCAACTCTACAGTACAGTACGGTACTATACTGTAGATTGCATCGTCAAGCAATACTGTAGGAAATACAGTACAGTACAGTACACTAGCTCGACTACAGTGAAAAGTATCCTACTCGGGCTACAGTACAGTACAGTACAGTACTTTATCAACGCTCCCTACTGTACAGTACTGTACACTGTAGTAACAGTAGCTCTACTGTACTGTACTGTACAGTACACTGTATACAGTACAATGTATGATGTACTGTACTGTATGTACTGTACATGGGTACACCAATGCAAGGTGCTGTCAACTCATTGACGAGAACCTGCTAGTCAGCTTCATCGCGCTCACCTACTGCGCTCGCTAGATATCACTCTTGACACGTCATGGCTAAGCAATATAACAGCAGGACTTCAAGACTTTCCTTAACTAACTAATACTGCAGCATAGTAAACTAGACTGGCGATGACAGAATTGGAGAGGAAGATGGATCTAGTTGATCACGCTCACCTACTGTGCTCGCTCGATATCACTCTTGACTACGTCATGGCTTCGCAATACTGCGGCATAGTAAACTAGACTAGCGATGACAGAATTGGAGAGGAGATGGATATACTGTAGTTGATCACGCTCACCTACTGTGCTCGCTAGATATCACTCTTGGCTACGCAATACTGCAGCATAGTAAACTAGACTAGCGATGACAGAATTGGAGAGGAAGATGGATCTAGTTGATCACGCTCACCTACTGTGCTCGCTCGATATCACTCTTGACTACGTCATGGCTACGCAATACTGCAGCAAAGTAAACTAGACTAGCGATGACAGAATTGGAGAGGAGATGGATATACAGTACTGTAGTTGATCACGCTCACCTACTGTGCTCGCTAGATATCGCTCTTGACCACGTCATGGCTACGCAATACTGCAGCAGAGTAAACTAGACTAGCGATGACAGAATTGGAGAGGAGATGGATATACTGTAGTTGATCACGCTCACCTACTGTGCTCGTTAGATATCACTCTTGACCGCGTCATGGCTACGCAATACAACAGCATGACTCCAAGACTTTCCTTACTAATACTGAAGCATAGTAAACTAGACTGGTGACGGAAATATTTAGACATAGTAGACGAGTATTAAGTCATCACTACGTAGAAGAACAACATGCTGTAAATCTGTAGCATAGTAAACTTGACTGGTGACAAATTATTTGGACATAGTAGATGAAGTATGATGTCATCGCTACGTAGCAGAACAACATGCTGTAAATCTGTAGCATAATAAACTAGGCTGGTGACAAATTATCTCAATATACTAGATGGATGTTCAAGTGATGACTATGCAATCGAACAGCATGCTGTAGCATACGTAGTAAGCTAGACTCGTAACCAATTATTTTGACATAGTAAATGCATGTTGAAGTGATGACTACGCAGTTAAACATCATGCCGCAGCATACTAAACTACACTCGTAACGATAATAGTTTGATTTGCTATAGTAGATAAATATAGATATACCGATAAATAGTCAGTAAGAACGACGTAATAGAGTAGCTTAACATCAACAATTTGCCAATCAATGCTGTACAATGGTAAACTTGACTCGCAATGACCGCATTTCCAGATCCAATGACGACGGAAATGCCTATATTAACCAGAGTCATGAATTGGACTCTTTTCTTGACCGATGCTGGTTCTTACAGACAACTGGAACCATATAAAAGCGTTACACGCAATAATAACTGAATAAAGCTCCCACATAAAAAAGGATCTTCATGTTGATGGACTCATTACCACCTAAAATAAAATCGGAAGTATTTTTCATTCGCATCCAACCCTCTTGCCTAAATGCATCCAAGATATACAGACTTCCAGACGATGCCTATGCACGTACAAATCTTGCTCATTTACAATTCAATATAGAATAAGCACCTAGGGGTATCCTTGTTTGGGCAATTATTCAAATGAAACGATTGGACTGTTGTGAGTCGAGGTAGTCAGTAGGAGGTTGCCATTCGATGAAGAGATTTGAGCGATTAACGTTGTTGATTTTTCACTTTGCTAAAGTCGTTCACTAGGTGTAAACTACTGTAGTGTACTTGCAAGGTCCAGTGAACAACAGTATAATCACGAAAACTTCTATTCCAAACTGCTAACAGTCTGATGATCAACGCTCTTCCAAGGGAAATCATTTCCTTCCATTATTAGCAAGTCAAGACTAATTCAACTTTCTTCATCCTTTCTTAAAAGAAGGATGCTATTGCGTCATTTCTTATTTCAGAATCATCGAGGTTATGCACTAACAGTAATTCTTCTTGCGGAAATCACCGTATCAATAAGCCATCTTAGTGTCGATGACGTCAATCAATTAGGCCAAGGTACGCATTTTTTTCCCATTCGATCCTAAAATGAGATCCTATTTACATATCGATATAAAGACAAATTCATAATGCAATACTCCAATCTCCTCAAAATGCCACAGTAGGAATGAATTGAGAAATAACGTGTGCCCTAAGAATGAATAGTTTATTTAGCAATCACTGATGCATGCAATCAAATTCGTAAATAATATTCAGGTTACCGCTATGGAATAGAATGAGAATTGAAGAATGTACGTGACGAGTAGACTATGAAATATGGATAAAATCGACAATGTAATACAAAGACAGAAATGCCATGGAATTAATATCAACCCTATTTCTACCTATCTTATGTCTTATCATGAAATCATAACGCTGTAGTAAAACTCAAAGCTAGTAGTTTATGATGAAGAATATGCAGTATGATTCGTCCAATTCACAAGAAATCGGTATTGATGATTTTAAAATATCCTGCAATGGATAAACTCTTCCATCAATCGATTGTTTATTTACGTGCATACAAGTAAATAGTGGAATACTTAACACAGTGTTGGTCATTTCTTTGAAGTCCATTTTCTTTTCTGAAAATGTTGTCTACTCTATTAATAGCATTCATCTAAACTTTTTCTACGACTTGATTCACATCATTCACGAAGTAATCACATAAAAATATTTTGAATTGCTTCCATCTTTCATTGTTTTACAATTGCATTGCTATTTCCAAGTTAGCAGATGATATCTAAAGTAGTAGTTATTGGATTTAAGTTAATCGCACAAACAGTAAAGCGACTCCATCGCAATTGTTTATGAACGACTTGTATGCAGTAACCACTCGTATTTACAGGAAAAAGCTACGATTCCTTCTTGTATCCTATACCTTTTCCCCCTTTGTTCTACTAAAACAGTGATCGATGATAATTATCCAAGTTTAAGCGCAATAATTACGATCCTACACCACTAAATGTTGTGCTACCTTACATGATCAGCTTGCAATACAATAAAAATGCCATACAGTAGGCAACGCCGTAAAAGATCGACTGCAAATCAATTATTCTCTTCCTAATTTGCATTCGCAATATTAGTTTACTATTATTAATCTTGCATTATAAATCATAAACGTGGTAACCTTGTTGCTAATTAAATAATATCTTCTTAATAAGCATTCGTTAAATAAGACTACTGCTATTAATCGAACATTAGAAGTCATAGGCGAACAACCTTGTTATAAATAAATTAAATGCATTCTTGCTAATTAGAATTCTCAAAGTAACACTGCTACTATTAATCGAACGCTATAAATCATGGGCATTGTAACCTTATTGCAAATTAGATACACTCTTGCTAACCAGAATTCTCAACGTAACACTATTACTATTAATCGAACGCTATAAATCATGGGCATTGTAACCTTATTGCAAATTAGATACATTCTTGCTAACCAGAATTCTCAACGTAACAATGTTACTATTAATCGAACGCTATAAATCATGGGCATTGTAACCTTATTGCAAATTAGATACACTCTTGCTAACCAGAATTCTCAACGCAACACTGTTACTATTAATCGAACGCTATAAATCATAGGCATGGTAACCTTATTACAAAAAAAAATGCTCCCTTTTAATCGGCATTCATAATGTGCTCGTCAGACTACTACTATTAATCTGATGTTATACATACGTATGACATTATACACGTAAAACATGGCAACCGCAATGCTAATACTTACTTTTTTCCTAATTATAACCAGCGTTTACAACATAAGACACCTGCTATTTATCTGACATTATAGATCATAGCTATGGCAGCCTTATCCTTAAAACCATCCCTGAACATATTAATATTCAAGTTAATAACCATGGGTTAGCCTCGCTACAACTAAGGTTCGATTTATATAGACTTGAAATATTTATATACGATAGTGATTGCATTGCATCATCATTTTATAGCAAGATCATGACAAACCATTTGAGAGATTTATATCATATTGATAGTGCTATTCCAAAGCAAGCAACTACGATAAACCTTTACAGCCGCAATATATTGGTGGTTACTGTTCCAGACGAGGTAAACTTCAACTTAGATCCTACTATAGATTTTAATCCAGTGATTACTTAATCAAACTGGTCAATAAATTTATCCTAAAATTTCTCGTATGGCTGAAGATAGATACCGAAATTACTACCTATATAATATATGTACGAGTATAGTACGTATATTTTACACATTTTCTATTTAACCTGTATATCATAAAATGATATGGCTATTAATGCTCTGTCTAATGCTTTTTAATCTAGAAATTTTACATTCAAATTTTCTAACAAAAAATTATAAAGTACCATTTAAAGTTAAGATATTATCATCAATAATGTCACGTTATACGTAACATAAAATATTCCATTTCATATGGAAATTACATTAGTGCAGTGTATTAATTTTTATCACTAGACCAAATAAATAACGTTTAAGGCTCACCATGATTACTAGGCCTACTAAGTTGCCTTTAAGACTATTCATAACACAGTAACCTAACATAAGATACAAAGTATAAAACAAAAACTTGTGAGTGCTCAGTTTATCATCATAGTTATTAAGCGATCAAAGTGTTCCTCACTGGAGTAAATCTACATAATTATAATTGAATTAAAAGAGTTGAAATTTGCATTCTCAACTTTATGATCATGAAAGATTGTTGAAACAACCCATTTTAATAAAATTGCTCAATAAAACACCGAATGGATATAGGTTACAATACAAAATGATCCCGCTCCTAGAGCCAATTTTACTATCACTGCTGTGGGCCCAGGAGAGACTGAAATCATCATGAATACTACTTCTCAAGAAATTTCAAAGTACTGTATATTATATTTGCTGTTTATTATTACTTCAATGTTCTTCGGTTATTTTCAACAGTGCACAATTGTGATCACTTCTTAAACAGGATGTAAAATATCGATTTTAACAGAATAACATTAACCTATTACTTCGATCTCTCCTAAATTATGACAGTATATCTCACAATTATATCAAGGTAGAAGTTATTCGTTCTCAGACACTATTGGTGATTAATGCAATTATTGGATGGTTATATTTCCTTGCTTGGACAATATCATTTTATCCGCAAGTAAGCCAAGTAACAATACCGGTACTGCCTAAACTTTATCATATACATAGACAGTGCTAGTATTCAGCTTTCTTTATGAATGTGAACTAAAAAGGGTTTTATCGGCTGTGAATATCATGCTTTCATGACTCTACCATTAAGAAATATCTTGAGGCTTTAAGATATTGCCCAAGTTTTCACTTAGCACATAATAGCTATCTTATGAAATATAGTCAAAATATCAAAGCATTACAGCCAACAAAGTATATGGACGCAAATTAATATTATCATTAATAAAAAAACCTTAATTGAAGTTGATTTTGGATTAATATAATCATTAAGTTACTTTAATTTAATAATGACTGTAGGTTCTAGAAAATTGGCAAAGAAAAAGGTACCGGTGGAAAATATTGCTATTAACTTATTTTCAATTAATAAAAAAGAAAGTACAATCTTTATTGTATGCATAGTAAAATATAGTATATGACATGCATTACGGCATTTTTTTCTTAGTGTCATTGGATTAAATTTCGATCTAGTGGCTTTAAATCTGATCGGATTTTCTGCTTATGCCGCATTTAATATTAACTTATTTTGGGTAGATGAAATCAAGGTAGCCATACTATTTGGATTAAACATAGACCTAGCAACATTTGATAATGTTACCTCAAAGTATTAACCACTTGTAGTAGATTGTTTATTCGGCAATGATACAACTGTTTTGATGCCATTAATCCTATTCATTGTCAATCTTAGAAAGAATATAAAGCCTTGCACCCTTATGAAATAATTCCTGTAAAAGGCAATGATGTATTCTTTGGTATTCATTCCGTTATTCTGACAATCTTCTTGATTCTCCAATGTATACGCTATGAGGTAGGCTAATAAATTCAGTGTGTAGCCCATTTTAGTTGTCAATTATGTGTAAGTACAGTACGTTATGCTGTAATTTTTTTTCAATTTTTAATTATATATCCTTAGTAAATATGCGATAACTTGTAACTATTTTGATGGGTCTATCTAGCGTGGTAATCAAAAAGTTTCTAGGACCGGCACTATTTTGGTATCTGGGTCAACCATATTCATTTTCGTATCACTGATACTAGCCATAGTGGGCAAGATATCGTGGCTAAATTTCTTCTATTATTTATCCTACGTAAAGTTAGGAGTTAATGTAGTAAAAAACGTGCCACAGGTAACAAATACAAAAGGCAGTAGTCAAAATGTAGAGCCTTTTCAAGATATTTACGGAACGATTAGATCAATAGAAGTAGTAAGGAATATTGGACTAAAATGATATTATTTATAACGAATTTTTCAAAGGTGTATTTAAACTATAAGCGTCAAAGTACCGAAGGATGGAGTATAACTGGCGTCTTATTAGACGTTGTCGGAGGTGTTTTTAGCGTATTGCAAATGATCTTAATTGCATATAATCATGGTAAATATCACTATATTAGATTTGTCTCATTATGGCAGTGAGATTTTATGTTACATCCAATCATACGGTTATCATTACCTTGATTCAATGATTTAAAGTTTCTCATCATATCTGAAATATCTATTTTACTAGATGACTGGGGATCAATGCTTGGAAATCCGACCAAATTTGGGCTAGGTGTATTATCCATTGCTTTTGATGTTATATTTATTATTCAACATTATATATTGTATAAAAGAGATAAAACCTACGTCACCTTGATAAATTCTTAAAATATTTTTCTGAAAGGATTATTAAAACTGATCCCCTGATCTTTGATAGCATATATGATTTTATCAAAGCCTATCGGCTCAATATTTTTTTGATACAGAGTAAATTTGCTATTGCTATTATACTGTATTGTTACAAGTGCTGAAAGAATTGTATCTTCTGTTAGTATCATATAAAATTGAAATGAAATAGACTACTTCTGGAACTTTTATCTTTTTTGATTTAACCACACCTAATTTTATTTACGAGATAAAGATTTTGAAGCGTACATTTTATTGTAAAGTATCTCCATGATTTACAGTATAATGCTGTTATATGAATCTTTATATATTTTAACTTGATTTATAGACTAATTTATTCCATTTCAGGAATTGCGTCTTGAGTATATGCAGTCATGTAAGAAAGAATGTATCATAATTTCGATAGAAGAATGCATTAAAATCACGCGAATAGAATTTTTATTGAGATCGGTAATTGTACATAGTTGTAATACAACCAATGCAGGTCTACGTTAAAGCTAAGTCTCTTAAATTTTTTCATTCTAAATTTTTATGTATGCATGGTTCAACATAGCAACTTTAGAATTACATTCTATATACATGACATAAAGCGAATGCCTTTACTCTCTACTATTTCATTCAAAAGTTTATACAACTACAAATGCTCTTACAATAAATTCATTTTTCATATGGAAGCTATTAACAAGTATACGTGCACAGATAGATGATCTGTCATTTAGAAATTGTTCGCTATCTATGATATTTAAAAACTAAATTTACATCTGGTTGCTATGCATTCTAACTTTTAAAGATTATGATCTTGAGTTTAACCAGTAAATGAAATCATAAATTGCAAAAAAACTTCGTCAGTCGATAATAATATAATTAGCATTCAACTCCTCATACATTACTCACTCACTCTTTACTCATTACTCACTCTTAGACTATTAAAAGTAACATATGTGCTCTCAGTTTAATTCTATAAACAGCAATTTGCTTACTATGCATTACTGATTATTTAGGAATTTTCTCTACGTAGAATTCACTTTCTCAGTATGAATACTTTAGAGTAAGCATCATGGCTTTGTATATTTGTATTCTTAACATAAGATGATAGGTCACTAGGGATAAGATTTTCTACAGCTGAAGACAACTCAAATGATATTGCTTTAAAATTCCTGCTCTTAAAGAGTTCTTCATTACTAAAAAATGTGTAGTGCATTACTATCATGAAATACAAGAAATTTACTAAAATATCATAATATTCAATGATTATGATTTTCCAGTTTCCTTGATGTCGTAGCATGATATGAATCTACCATGTCTCGCCATCTTTTACTATTGTTAACTAACTTCTTTATCGTGATGTCCCATTGTTAACCATAGTTTATTACTATACTGCTTTCCGTTTATCATTGCTACCTTAAGAAAATATGTAAGAGATAACCGTTTAAGCTAGATGAAATGTAGTTCAGAATTCTAATCATTCAAACCACCCTGAAGGAAATAAGCTATTATATTTGCCTTCCACGCCTACATTGCTACTAAAGAATCAATGTTAATAAATTCATGGTACCATATTGACTTTGACCTATCATAAGCTGGAATGATTCAAAGAATTCAATCATGAAAATTAGACCACGCTTCATCTCAATCCGAATAAAAGATGCAAATATTTTTGGCAAGTAAAAGCTATGCAAATAAGTTACTAATTTTATAGTTCTGACCAACCCCTTTCACTTATTTTAGCCGACCTTAGTAGAGTAAAGTCGTTCGTATACTAGACTAATGAAGGAATGTCGTAGTATTTAAATAGTATAATCTAACAGAATATATTATCGGGACTTTTCGACAGATACCCACTAGATTTAAAACGAACTAATTTTTAATATAGCATTGCGACATCATGCTGTTTCATTTAATCGTTCGTCAAACATTTTGATCATTCTTTAAACAGCAATGTTCAAGCTCATTATCAAATATTATTTTAGCTTCATTTATAGTCTTGCATAACGCACCATTCGTACTTACTCTTCTGAACATAACTTCAAATATTATTACAATAAGAGAAAAAATAAGAAGCTAAAATTTAAAAAATGCGGCCGTCAGATCTCATAAAACTAAAATCAAAATCCATGAAATTTTTAAATAAAAATGTAAAATTTACAATCAATTCATTTCCATGATTCTAATGTCATTACACTTATGTTTATTTCAAATTATGTGACAAGGACAACTATTAACTTGACCTTGTTGGTAAGCCGATAAAGTTAATGTTCGTAATCTTATTCATACGCAAGTACTGTATATGTAGTATCTACTCTAGAGAATAGAAATTCTAATAGAAGCTATAATCGATCACTTAGAATTCTCTGATCTCTTTATTGATCAAATTAGCTATCGTCTTCAGTAAAGCAATTGGTAAAATATGGAAATCACTTTAAAGTGGACAATTTATATGTTCCCGCTGATATTGTTTGTACTAAGTAATTATGATTAATCTTGTCTGCAACTTATAAAATAGTGTGGTCAGACTATGATATCCTACCTAAGGTGAATAAAAGATGATTGTTAAAAGCTACTATTACTTGCACTATTGACATTAAATTAATTTTCCTTACAGTTCTAAAATTGAATCAATTTAGATAAAGTATTCCTTTAGCTTAAGTTCTTAATTTGGAATAAAGCTCATGACAGTAATCAGTCGCCTAGAAAGTAACATTTACCATATAATGCATTAGATAGCGTTGTATACTTTAGTTATAATAAGCTACTCTACAGTAACAAAGCTATTTTCCTAAAATAAAGCTTAGTAATAGCGAAGACAAATTCAGTTTCGAATTGGAATACGAGCAAGTATAACTATATTAATGTATTATTTGTTCAGAATGATTCTCCAATATGGTAGTTATTTTTATCAATAATTAGATGATTTAGCAAGGTAAGAAAAAGGGAAGTTAAAGGTAATAATTAATTAGAAAAAATCGGATATTGAACTTTACGATATCCAATAAATCATTTCCAAACTGCGATGGCCATTTGTTGCCGGCATCTACGCCTTCATAAACTTCAAATAGTTCCGGACTCTTACATATGGCTTAAAACAAATATATTAGCGATAGACCAATAACTAATCAGGAAATAAAACAAATTTTAACTACAGAAGTTGTTATTTAAGATCAATACTCTACGTATTTGCTTCGTCATTTCTGAACTTTTCAATCACTCCAAGGTACTACCTTGAGGAGAGTCGATTTTCTCAAATTTATTTCATTATTCACAACCGACGGCATCCCCAACATGTCGTCACTAAGTGTTCAGGTAAAGTATTTTCACGGCTGTCGTATCTATTTGCTATTAATCAGTTTATAATACACTAATTCAAAGTATTAAAATGTCGTATTTAAAGTCTACGAATTAGCTCTAATTAAATTAACTATCCATAAATAGCAACATACACATTTTATTGCTTAGGACTGATACCGACGTTTCGGCCACTTTTTACAACTGTCTTTCAAATTTAGTTATTAGTTTTAATTGTAGTCATTTTTCGACAGGATTTAAAAATATACCAGTCCAAAATAGTTGTTACGATTATCTTCTAAATTCATACTATACTATTTCGAAAGTTTATCTAGGTCGTAAATATATGGTAAGATTAACTACCTTAAAAATATTTACAGTACCACACAGTGATGGAACACAGCACCGATCTTGCTTTTAGGGCATCCTAAAATTTGAACGCACGCTATCAAGTATATGGCTAGATATTACATTCCTTTCATATTGAATAAATTTTGATTGATTAATATTGTAGAATAGAGAAATTGTCGTTAGCAGAGATATTGTAATATTATGTTTAATAGTGGAATGTACTCTTGTAATGTTTACCATCATTTAGAAAGATGAATTAGAAGCCTCCATTCGTAATTTAACTACCACTGCCGAAATACCATTGTCACCACTTCTGTTATCAGGAGAGGCAATGTCCACTGACGATGTTAAAGCAGGTAAGAAAAAAGACGATTTCTCATAGGTATTTGCAGAAGAGGAAAAAGTCAAGCCGTGATATCGTTTTAAAATGTGACTATTTTTAAACCGTAATCAATACCGAAACATGATTGTCAACAAGTATTTGAAAGAAAGGCAAAGTAGTTAAGAATCATTTCGTTGATGTAACTTTTACGTTTGTTATACCTTGTTATATTCCTACTTTCAGTTTATACTTAGTCAAGATTTAGCTTATATGTACAATATATCGAAAATAGCCTCTTGTATGTCTAATAACATAGTATTTGAGAACACAATATTACGATAAAATGCGTGAATAAATTACTCTTAATCAATAGAACGATGGCCAATCTTTGATATTTAGATGATGAAACACAGATGTTACGGATCATTTAGAGGGCAAGCTATAGATTCACTTTAGTTTCGATCATCACTGTAGTAAAATTACCTTGCCAGTTTTTAAATATAGTCTACGAAAGAGAGGCTATTACATAACATCTATTAATAGCCTAAAGGACCAAAGAGTATTTCCTAACCATACCTATTTCCTATGCTACCATAGAAATTTTAAATTTCTACTTCTAAACTAATAAAGTACCTTATTTTCACGGCGAAACTTAAACTTAATAGTGAATAAATTTAAATCTACTGTGAGATTATTGATAACTTTGCATTTTGTACTTATACATGAAATTGATAGACCAAAACTCGGCGGAATTAGGACAAAATATTAACGCCGACCAAACAACATCTGCTAGTGCTGATGATTTAAAAGAATCCCAGCCAGTATCAGATAATACTGAGGAAAAGGAAGCAAATAATGAGCCAAAAAAGAAAAAGGGACCGAGTTTAACTATTCAAATTCCTCAGGAAAACAAATTAATCGATAAAACTCCTCATCCGGTATTAATAGAGTATAACATATTCGCGCATTTATATCGAAATCTTTAGTAATCGCTGATTTTTTGAGTATTTTATATCGAAATCTATTGTAAAATTCTGGATACTTTTACTCTCAGATAATTACATTGCGAGCATATTGAGTAGATGAAATTTTACTCAAATGAGTTCAAGAGTTGTAATTGTTATAATGTTTTTGCAGGTATTTGCTGAATTAGAAGAGCTGGTTGCGGTTGATGATAGTGGAGAAGAGTTAGCTTGGAAAGAGAAAGCACGATGGATTAAATTTGAAGAAGATGTTCAAGAAGCAGCTGATCGATGGGGAAAGCCACATGTGGCTTATTTATCATTTCACAGCTTGTTGGAGTTGAAGCGCTGTTTAGAAGTCGGTAAGTTTATTCTAAGACATTTAGGAGTACTGAGGTGAAAATCATATTTATTTCAAGCTTTTCTAAATACTGCATTGCTGCTCTTTAAAGAAGAACATTAAGTCTACGTTAGATGAATGAATTAAAATTGTAAACTATGTATTTCAGGTACGGTTATGCTAGATATGAAAGAAAGCGATTTCGGCAGTATTGCCATTTCTTTAGTAGAAAGTATGATCTTGACCAATGATACCGATGTGCAGACTGGTGCCAAAATACTTCAACTTTTACTACTAAAACATCAACATCAATCACGACATCATCATCATCATCATCATCATCATCATCATCATCATCATCACAAGCACAGAAAAACCTCTCAAACGCATGAAGGTAAATCAAACCATAATCTATTTGTTATGCAATCTTATTTATTTGTAGAAATGCTTTAATCATATTATACAAACATACAGAAAACTAATATTGTAAGTCAGTACTTTTAAAGTAAAGTATTACGTTAACTGTAAATATTAATATTGCGATCTTCGAGATATTATATAGAATTGCAGTTTAACTAGAGGAAATCTACTGTAGAGATTTTTTCAAATTATTTTTTACTTTTATCCTACCGGTTTACAGTTCAACTTTCAGCATATGATTATATATACCGTAGGATCCCGTTTTTTAATCACAGCGCTATCTTTGTTTAATTTTACCATATTTTTACCTGCCTTTCTTAGCTCCTACTCGAAAAAGCGATTCTGGTTCTAAGGGTGACATATCCAAAACAGAACTATACCAGGATGCCCCTGCTTCTGGAGCTGGTGTTCGTGACGTTCCTAATAGTGAAAATGTTGATTCAAGCCAATTTGTTAGTTTAGAAATGGTAAGTGATACAGCAGAGAAAGCATCATCTAACGATGAACAGGCACAGAATCCGCCACAAGCTGAGGTATTTACACCATTTGTTCCCATGACTCCAGTATCGCCTAGTATGCAGCAAGCAGAGAAAGGTGTGTTATCACCATCGGTGGCATTTTTGCAGGTAAGCAACATTTCGAAGAGAGCTGGTTACTAAATTGTCATAGAATGTTGGAGAGTAATTCCTTTCTCTTATTTACTCAAGTATCCAACTTGTACTCAGCCCTGCTGTCATAATAAAATTTATCTTCTAGGAATCGAGGGATCAAATTCGTGCTAATTTAGGCAAATCAGTGACTAATTTAGATAAACAGGAAGAGATTGAAGAATGCGACGATTCAGGCATATTACGCAAGATTCCGTCAGGTTCTGAGGCTTGTACCGTCCTCGTCGGTACCGTTAATGACATGAAAAAGCCAATTGTCGCCTTTGCGCGATTGACGAAAGGGAGACGATTAGGCAATTTAGCCGAAGCACCCATACCAGTTCGTTTTATTTTCATCATGATGGGTCCGGAAGATGATACTATTAACTATTACGAAATTGGAAGATCAATTTCAACATTGATGTCAAATGAGGTAACGATACTACTAGCTTAAGAAATGATATCATACTTTAACTTTGTATGCATTGAGAGACGCAGTCGTAAGAAGCAAATACATACTTTACCTACTGTACTTGAAATTGTCTAGTTTCTTTTAATCCGTCTTGACCGCTCGTATTTTGCTATTTTACATTGTAGAGCTTTAATCAAGCAGCTTACGCTGCTGAGACACGCATGGACTTATTGAATGCGATTAACCAGTTTCTGGATCAAAGCGTTGTCTTACCGCCTGGTGATTGGGATAAAGATATGTTGGACCCAGTAACGCTACCAGATAATTCTAACCGTATCGGTAGTACAGTCAGAATATTAGCAGGTAGTGAAAAATGATAATTGTGGGTCTTTCTAAAGTATACGCGTATTACGAATGGCATTAACTTGATGCATGGTTTTACATCCGTAATTTGGATGTAAATATGAAATAAGATTATAAAGGCTGTATTAAGTGGTTGTTTTGAAATGCATTAGATGAGAACGAGCTATCACCACGATTTGCCGATGTTCATATGGTTGGACAAGAAGAAAATGATCCATTGAAAAGAACAGGGCGATTATTTGGAGGCTTTATCAATGAATGCAAGAAGCGCTATCCTTATTACGTTAGTGATTTCAAAGGTAAACAATCAACTGTTCTTCTTGTGATATACGATAGTCACTAATTGGCATTTGGTAATATTGCTCTATAGTATGTTTTATATAATTTCGTTTTCTAAATGAAGTTAATATTTCATGTAATAATTTTGATCGTAATATTTTTGTGCACTTTTTTTATTTTAGACGGATTAAATTTTCAAACTTTGGCAGCTTTTATTTTCATTTACTTTGCATGCATTTCACCAGCAATTACATTCGGAGGTTTAATTAGTTCAAAAACCGACGGTTGGATTGGTGTAAGCGAAATGATATTAGGTACAGCTATTATTGGTCTTATGTTTGCATTCTTTGCTGGGCAGCCATTAGCTATCATAGGTTCTACTGGGCCTATATTGATATTTGAAGAAATTGTTTATGAGGTAAGTTGCTTTATTAAATATCGTAGTTCTTTATAAATTAATGATTTTACAAGTGAGCACACATTATAACATAGAGAAGATGCAAGATAGAATCTTTTTTAAATTTATAGAATTATCAATTTACTTAATTAAAAGACAATGCATGCTTTCTATCTACTTTAAACATATGTTTATGTTACGAAACAAAATTGGAATTAGTATTGAGTTAATTTACTATTTGACATGTTATAGCTGTGTGGCCAGTTTAATATCGAATATATCGTTTTCCGATTCTGGATCGGTGCGTGGGTTATGATTATATGTTTTGTAACCGTGGCATTAGAAGGAAGCTTTCTTGTACGCTATTTTTCACGATTTACTCAAGAGATATTCTCCGCTTTGGTATCCATCATTTTTATCTACGAAGCTTTCTTTAATCTCATTAAGGTATAATAGTAATGGAAACTTTTTATATACTATCGAAACAGGGGGCTATCAATTTGATAGAATTCTTTCTTGTCGTTAATGACACTAAATTCATTTCCTCCTAGATCTACGAAAATCATCCTCTCATAAGCGATTATTGCACAGTGGTAGAAAACAATCTTTCCACTACCAACGCCACTATACCTATTTCATTTTTCAATAGCAATATATCAAATACAACATCTGCTGTACAAGTGATTCCACCTCGCCCCAATACCTCTTTACTTTCCACTATCTTAATGTTGGGAACATTTGGTCTGGCCATGTTCTTCCGCCAATTTAGAAATAGTCAATATTTAGGACGCCAGGTAAGATATGCTTCGGAGTGATTTAAGGCTCTAATTCAATTAGGTTTATTGAAAAGGTTAATTTTGGTGACCAAATTGTATCAACGTTAAATGTTGTGTTATAATTGTCTGGTCAATTTTAGAGCCGGATTGCAAAATATTCGTTATTGATGATTGGATACTATTTGCTAATATATGTCGTTTAATATGGTTTTTCATTTTAGGCCCGCCAAATTATCAGTGATTTTGGTATCCCAATCTCAATTGCAGCCATGGTAGTCGTTAATCTTTTGATTCATGGTGTTTATGTTAGAACATTGGAAGTACCAGGTGGTCTATCGACAACTTCTCCACATAAACGGGGCTGGTTAATAAACCCTCTTGGATTAAAAGAACCTTTCCCGGTTGGATTAATGTTTTTAGCGGCTGTTCCAGCTTTGCTGGTTTTGATTTTATTGTTTATGGAAACAGAAATTACATTGCTTTTAGTTAATAAAAAAGAGAATAAGATGAAGAAGGTGCGTATTTATAATGCTATGCTCGTGTTGGCAGTTAACGTTAAAGTACTCATTTCAATTGACAAAAAAAGAGTACTCTTACTGATTAATTGTAATTATTCATCGCTTTAATTTATTTCAATTGCTTGCTTAAGTTTGCTACACTGTGTATCTACTTTGATTAGGGATCTGGGTTCCACATTAACTTACTCCTTGTTGGTATTGGTGTCGGTATAACATCACTTATTGGTGCTCCATGGATGTGCGTTGCCACTGTCCGTACGCTATCTCATACTTTAAGTGTTACAGTCATGAGTAAATCAAATGCTCCTGGAGAAAAATCCCAATTAGTTGAAGTTAAAGAACAACGAGTTAGCAATTTACTCATTCATATCATGATAGGTAAGTATACACACTGCTGCATATATTGATATCAAGATATAGGCTTGAAAAATTGAAAGGAAAATAACACTATCATCACTATAAAATTTAAACTTTTATTGTATTAACATGGCGTTATTGCCGTTATCTTTAGGCGCTTCCTTATTCTTAACTGATGTCCTTCGATTAATCCCTATACCGGTTCTTTATGGTGTTTTCCTATACATGGGATTTACGTCCTTAAACGGAGTTCAGCTAATAGAAAGAATTAAGATGCTGATTATGCCTTCAAAGTACCATCCAGAAACTATATTTGTTCGCAATGTAAGTGACTGCGACTAAAATTTTACATTCGATACCTTGGTACATAAATATTGTCGGACTAGTGCGGTACAAGTATGTCAATTATTACCTACACATAGGTGGCTTCTTAATTAGTATCTTTAACTTTTTATCTCATCAGGTGCCAACAAGAAAGATTCATCTTTTCACTTTAGTACAAATTGTATGCATCGTCGTCCTTTGGGTTATCAAATCGACCGATGCTTCTATTGCTTTCCCACTCTTTATAATTTTGACTATTCCAGTTCGCTGGCAAATGAAGCACTTTTTCACGAGAAGAGAACTGATAGCAGTAAGTCTCGTTTCTAGGCAAACTTTATCACATAATCAGCGAATTATGAAATAAGCAGTATTTTCAGGCTAGTTAAAAATATTATTGAAAGATTTCGGAACAACCTTGCCATTAAATTACAACTATTAAATCAGCATGTATAGCTCGTATATTAAGTTCATTATTCCTAGTGAGATTCATTAAATCACTCCGTTGATACATAGTAGACATTGACGAAAGTAGAACTACGTTTTTATTCGAGTCTATTCTTTTCTTGTATATTCTGAATATGAACTGATCTACAATATTTTAATGGAATTTGATTTTTTATGTCATTTCTTATGAAATGTGTTTACAGTACGATAATTATAATCATTACAAGGAGTTTTCTATATTACGGTTATTAAATGTAATAATGACAGATTCAGTAACCTTTAGCTGTTAGCTACTTTGATTAGATTTTTCGATTATTCCTACTTATCGTAAAAGGCTATTAAATTTTTGATTTGTTTTGCATAGCTTGACAACGACGGTAAAACTCCATTACCTGACGATGAAGAAGATGAAGTTGAAGTTAAATCGCCGGATTTTGGAGCAGGTCATAAAGATGGAACTGAAACTTCTGTTAAATCTGCTGCTTCTCCAGTCTAGATTAGTCCAAAGCTTGATCAATATTTATTGGACGTTACCAAGCTGCCACATCTACTGTAGTACTTGGCAAATTTTAAATAATCATTGTGTCAACATTTAAGTTAAGACATCATATGAATTATAAAGGTTAAATGATCATATTATTGTAAGGCGATGTTCTTGTTGAAAATTGTTTAGCTATAGAAAATGTTGATTAATTTCGACATATCTTATATTGATAAAACGCTTCATGCTTAAAGCCTATAACTATAATGCGTGGCTAACGCGGTAGTTTCTTCATTCGATTAGAGTAGATCAATGATGATTACCACGGTAACATTGAATTATAAAAGATCTGGAAATAACTGTAGTCTTGCAATTCTGTAGGCTAAGCTAATAATATTGCCATGCTATTATTTATTCGATATAAATAGATCCAAGAATAAAGATGAAATCTTATTCCGCATTACTTATATTCATGCTTAATTCTACGTGTATGACTCCCTTCATATTAACCGTATAGTTGATTGATTGCAGATATACGTCGAGTATAATTAGGCTGGAATACAGTGTTGAGATTGTACATTAGATCTAGTTATTTTCTTATGATATATCCAGAAATGCCGTTGAAACAGCTATACGCGTATAACTTTAACGCATTTGTCCAAACATATCTGCCAGTTCTTAGCAAAATTAACCAAAAAGGTCTTAATTTATTTCGTTAAAATTTTGCAAATTTGCTTGGACAAGGATAGTGAAGGTATAGATTATGGAGGCATTTCAGCGGCATTTTTGGAGGTTTCACAAGTAAATGTTTGGGTCCATCTCTATCTGTACAATACCACTTCTAGTAAATGATGCCAAGCAGAATCGATCTGATTGATATTAAAATGTGTTTATGCTATACGACATTTGTATTACCAAGGACTTCTTAAAAGTCTGGTCTTACATAATTGTAGATAAGTTCATATGCTTGATTTATAAGGGGCATTTCAGCAGGTAAATGTTTAGGTCCATCTCCATCTGTATAATACCACTTCTAATAAATGATGCCAAGCAGAATCGATACTAAAATGTGTTTATGCTATACGATATTTCGATGTATTGCCAACAACTTCTTAAAAGTCTGGTCTTCCATAATTAGAGATAGGTTTATATGCTTGAATTATAATAACATTGTTATAGCCTTGTGCATCCCTACCGAGAGCATAGTAGAAAAGCAAAATCAATCAAATTATTCTTGGTTTTATTATAATAAAGGGAGCGGAGATCGCAACAACACAGGCATCCCCCTAAAAGTAGTGGGGGTCACCTGAGGACGACCTTCCTCCGGCAAAAATTTCACGTATAACTACGTATACGATGCGAATCCCGCGTCACCAGGATTCAGTTATTTTCCTTACTCATTAGTTTAAGGCAAAGATCCATTAGAAAGGCAATTGATTTATATACTTACAATGAAATAGCATCACTTATGGGACAAATAATTTGCATAATGTGCCATGACGTCACACTGGTGGTATACCTATTTCGCGGGAAAATTGCAAACCCGCTTTGCATTTGATGGAAATTTGGCGGTTGGGGAAAAAATATTTTTCCTTGCCTTAGCTTTCTTCATGAGACAATGTATTCTTGTCTAATGTTTGATCAGCAGTCAAAGTTTAAAGCCAGGGTATATGAAATGATTCGTTAACGATATATAAAAGGTGTAAAGTATACTATCATTGGTTAAAACCATATCTGGTATTTCTGTAGAACGAGTATAGTACTGAACTGTAATATACAGTACAGTATGTACAACAAAATATGAGCCAGTGATCAGCGCATCAGCTGATTACAATGATTGTCGATTTAATTTCGAGGCACTAATGGATCTAATGATTCTAAATTAGCGTACTACAGTACACTACATTGACTTCAACATTATGAATGGGACATTTTTACCGGTAATTACGGTATAATTGACACCGGTCCTGTCGAGCGAATAAAAGTTTTTCTACAAACTGGCATAATCTTTTACCTTGGTCAGTCATTTGTTGTCTAAATAAATCTAGTTTAGAGTGTGTGAAATACTATAGTGAACTATACCCTGTCTGGATTGAATCATTATCTGGTCTTTTAACCGTACATGTGAGGTCTTCCATTGCAATAGCACAACAGTATATAGTCGTATCTAATTGGAGAGTAAAAACGGCTAATCCTATGGCACATAGAGTGAGCCTTTGCAGACGAACCTTGAAGGGCTTTTTTCTTGCTTGTCGAACAGCATCGAGCGACTAAATTTCTACGATAAACACCGTGTCAAAGAAGTTTTTTGTACTACTGTGTATACGCTGCATTCTCCATTTTCATTTACTGTACACCGCGTACAGTGTTAATATTGAGAACAAAGTAAATAAATAAATAAAATTAATTTGGAACTTTCATTATTTTACAGCCATTTTCGAATACCCGATCTACTGTACCTCTGGATTGGATTCATGGGTCAATTTATGCAACCTGTAGCGATGTTTCAGTAGTAGGGAATCGCAATGTCTGGTCATGACGGTCACGTCACGTTAACATAGCAGTGTTCCGTTTCACACCATGGCTGAACTGCCATCACACACACACTGAATCACCAGGTTGCACTCTATCGTTTACTATAGCTTTAACCATTAATAGGTTGTCCTTAAAAAGACGTTACGGTTCACACTCGGGTCACCTCACCACTGGATGGGTGGAACCATGGTGTAACCAGGACCAACTAGCTGTCGTGGCTCGATAGCCTAGAGGCTGTAACGTCTACAGTAATCGATACTGTAACATAGTCGCTCACATCATTTATTCAAATTGTATGCAATCATAGGAAAGGATATGAAGTAGTTGTTATCTAACGAAAAGAATAATCTACATAGATAATATTATAATCAATTCTTGTCGACTGCCCCGGGCCACTGTCGATGGAAATTAATTGTGGAAGACGATTTACTTTATTGATGGCATGATTATCGGCTAATTTCAGTACTGTGTCCATTTTTAATTGCAGTACCACTAAATTAATATAGTAGTAGAATCGAGTAGGAATGGAGAAGCAGGATCATGAAGCGACAGCGTTGGATGATCTTAATAGGAAGGAAACACTAGTACGGGTAAGTTACAAATAGAATATTTTTACAGGTATAACAAATGATCGATCAAACTGATGAAGAATAGAAATAACTTTTCAGCTTTTATGGAATGACTTTCCAATAACATACATGGTATGCTTATGTAAAATGATTTTGACATGATGGTAAAGGGTAGTAGCAATGTAGTGAGGGTTATTGTTGGTAGCATCGGCTTGCGATCGGCTTGAACTTTGAAGAGGGCTTTTTTGAACATCACTTGTACACGTTGTTAAGAATTGTTAGCATGGATGTTGCAGTATTGTCTATCGGATATTGTTGCTTTCCTTCCTAAACTTTGGATAAAGTAGCGAATCAAGATGGACAATTTTTGTTGAAATAAATTCGAAGCCATCAAGAGCTAAATTGAAATTACCTGCTCCAGTCCATTAATTCTATACGCACTGGGCGGTAATTGCTGATAGAGTAATGTTGTCATTAAGTTGGTCGTCTTTAATTAACGGATCTTCCATCACTTGCACGTAGACGTAGAATATGACTTTGACTGTATAGTATAAATTAGAATCATTTTAAAATCAACGAATAGCCATCTGTATACTATTTCATCGACAATGATATTCGATCGAAGTTTGTAGCTAGCCCAATGTTGATACGGAAGCGTTTATTCTTGTGTCTATTCGTTATGGAACAAAAATGTTTCATGCTGGTACAGTAATTTAAAATTCAACATTAGGTGCTAACCTAGGCCCCCCCAAAATTCGTATACGTTGTATCTACAGCCATTTCATAACAGATATTTCCTTTGACACTAGCATGATTGATATCACTTTGTATTTTATTCACTGCCAGCCAAAATTAGCCAACATGTTTCTCTTTGTTGATTAGACAGTTAATTTAGAATTGACAATCTTATCCAGCTATCCACATCTAATTCTACCCGCCTACGAATGCTTTCTCGTCAACGTCTACAGCATTCTGGACGGATAAGTAGCAGTTTAAAATTGTTTCTTATATATAACTCAAGGCGTTTAATGAGCTTTCAAGTTTTCCTGCTGATCATGCCATACTTTCTGCAAGGTGTCAAATTCCTTTTACGATCTACAGTCAATAACATCCATGAAGATTATTCAATCCCGGATCGATATACGCTATACTAGAGTAATTATTCGTCTAGTCGATATGAGGCCAACCCGATGTACAGCTGCAGTAGTAGTAGGGCAGATGAAGGTAACCAATTGCAATTAGCAAACACTTATTATTTTTCTCTCAATGTAATCGAGCGTTGTAGAGCATTACAGTAGCGTAGGAATAGCTTGAATAAGTCATTAATCATTAGAAAGAAAGCTAGGTTCCTTTCTAGCGATCCATGAATAAAGTCCAGAAAAAGAAAAAATAAATGTTAATTTATTCACACAGAAAGAAATGCTATGGAATAAAAGTTTGATTTGCTTTTCATCTCACATGTCAATTACAAATTCATTTTGCTAATGTGCCTATTTATCGCTAATGGCGACAGAAAGTAGAATTTTGTAGATAGATTTATTTCTTTTGGATTAGTTGCTATTTACCTTGAAAAAATTAACTGTATCTCGAGATGGGATGAAAAGAAGTAATGCTCGACTTGGCAGGTAGAACAAGACCAAGGCTTTTCTAAATGCATGGACTGAACTAGGTTGTCCCCACAACTATCCTTCAGTATACCCGACAATAGATTAAAAGACTTTTTCCTCTTTTCTCGGATGAGATAGAAAGCCTTACAAAGCAGCTGGAATAAATCGTTATTGGATGTAAAATCAACTGCAGCTCAGTAGAATAGATCCATCTTAATAATGATCTCATTAACCTTGGCTAAAATTGTCCTACCGGAAATAACTTTGGATATAATTCTGTATTAAATAGCTTAGATGTGTTTGT